TTCATCTTCTTCCTTCTCTTCTTTATAATAGTGAAGATCACAAGAGAAATGGATTATAGAGTAATGTAGCATGTATGGGTGAGAAAATCATCAGGAGAGGGCCGTGTTGACAAGTCACAACGTTCATGGAATCCTACTGAATAAGAAACATAACAAAGCCATTTTCCTCCCCATCTATCCTGTTCTTCAGCATCTTACAAATGCTTCAAGACATTTCAGCATATGTTCTGACACTACGATTAACAAGATGTTTCCTGTCCTTACTGAGCCCACAGTCCACACGGACCATGGCAATGGTTAGAGGATGGAGTGGGACACATAAATTGAACTGGCATGGTGATATCTGTTGTAATCAAGGTGGGTTACTGCTATGCCTTGGGCTTTTAGCTATAGCTTCCTCGTTCTTGGTAAGGCAGAAACAAGGGCAGGGATGAAATGAAGTTCTAAAACATTCTTAAAATATAGTCAGTGGTTGCCAGAAGAGACAGCTTTTGAAAACCCCAAACCAAAAATAATATAAAATAATAATAATGTAAGAGCCAGTTGCATTTTCCTAAAGATCCAAGAGCTCTAATGGTCTGGGACTGTGTGGGAGAAGGCAGCTGCAGGACTAAGAGCTGAGGGTGGATGCCCTGACCTCTGTTATAGGACCCAGTTTGTCAATGGGGAAAAGATACAAGATCCACCAGACAGACAAGGAGCTAATAGAAGCCATCACTCTTTCCGTTTCCTCTGAGAAGCAGCAGCCCTTGAAACCAAGTCCATCTTCTTCCACTCATTTCCACACATTCATGGATAGTGATGGATAAAGGCCAACCAGGTTACCGAGTCTGTATTTCCCATATCACCAGGGTTAGCGTAAGGACTGATGTTCCAGCCAGTTGGCACTGGAGAATTCTGATAGATGTTGGCAGCAGATGCCTGTGTTGGAAGGCTGGTGGGAAAGATGGTGCTTTGCTAATGCCAACAAACAGTAGCTACTCAGGCCTGTATGCTTCCTCTCCTGGATAATTGGATGTAATGAGACCATCTCTATTGCAAACATTGAAACAGAAGCAACCCAGAAGATGAGGTTGCTGAACTTCTGAAAATACTTATTTATTCAATTTTATCCTCATAAGAAGCTGAACATGACACTAAGCAGAATTTATATACAAGAAAATACTGTATTCTTCTGTGCACCCAAGTTTGTGAGCTGAGACTACGTGTGCTCCACAGACCACCATGAGGTTGACAAAGGCAGACAGATCTGGTGTTGGGTAGGGGAAGGGAGATGGCTCTCACCAGTGCTCTAAGGTCAGGTGAATGAGGACTGTCTGAGCAGACTGGGTGGTAGAGGACGACAGCAGTGCACGGGCATAGGGCACAGAAGGAAACTCATTTGCCATCATGTAGGAGTGACAGACAAGAGGCTGTAGTTATTTGCAATGGGTTATTAAAATCATGCCAAAGCCTGCAAAGCCTTGCATACACAGGGCACAAGGATTCATAAGTGATGACATGTATGTGCCTACTAAGTATTCCTTCAGGTTATTAAAATTTTTATGTGGAACTGGGAAGCAGATAACATTTTATTTCCACAATATGATGACTCTTACTGTTATTTGCAGCCGCCCTCTGGTGGAAATGGACAGTGGTTTCAGGGCAGCCACAGCAGCCAGGCTGTGTGGTTGCTTGATGCTTCTAGAATCTTCATACAGCTTGGTTTTCAGATCCATCAGTGATTCTGCCATCCATTGACACAATAATTAATAAATACCTTTCTCTTTCAAGAATGGGTTTCTACACTCTGATCAGGTCAAGTGAATACTTCTGTAAGAAAGATCTGGAGTGGTTAAGAGCAGGCACTCTGAAGGCAGACTGGCTGAGTTTGAAGCCAGCTGGCATACTGACTCTCACCTTGACCTATGGCGAGCTGCTGAGCCTTTGTGGGCAAACAGTGATATAGTAAGAAGCCTTCCTATATTGCTGTAGGCTGGTTAATGGACACAGGGAAGGGCTCATAACAGCCCCACATAAAGTGACTTCTGAGATTTGCTTTATAGTATTAAAGCACTGTAATGACCAAACAACTGACTGAGAGTGTCTAAAAACTTTTCAAGGATGAACACTAACTAGTAGGAAATTCTGCTTAAAAACAAAATGTTTTTTTTTTAACATATCAATCCCATTTCCCTCTCCCTCCCTCCCTTCTTTTTTCCCTCTCTCCCACCCTCTCATGTCCCCCAGCCAGCCCACCCCCACTCCACATGTAGGGTAATGCCTTCCAGGAGGGGTCATCTAAATCTGTCAAGTCATTTGAAATAGGGACTAGGACTTCTCTCCTGCCTCTATGTTAAGGCAGTATCCCTCCATGGGGGATGTACCCCCAAAGTCCTTTTATGCACCAGGAATACATCCTGGCTTCACTGTCTGAGGTCCCTTAGACTGCTCAGGCCTTCTAGCTGAGACCCATATTCAGGGAGTCTGAGTCAGTCCCATGCTGGATTCTCAGATATCAGTCTGGGGGCCCGTTAGCTCCTCCTTGTTCAGGTCAGCTGTCTCTATGTGTTTCTGCAGCCTGGTCTTGTCCTCCCTCTCTGCATCTGGATCCAGTTCAGCTCAGTGTTTAGTTGTATGATCAATTTTGTTATATAAATATTATCACAATTAAAAACTAAAACTAAAACTACTCTCCATTGAAAGAATTAAATGGATATAGTTTCTCTTTTACATGTAAATTTTAATTAAATGTAATCATTGCAATAAAAAACCCCAAAATTGTCACTAAATAACTTTGAACTTGGCTGATTATCATGCAGAGGATAGTCTTCTTCAGGGATAAGCAATTGTGCCTCTAATCTTAGGTACAAGTGGGCCTAGCTTGTTTCAAGCATGTTTTATTTATTTAAAATAATTTTTATTTGTACTTACATTTTGGTGGTATATATGTCTGTGTGCCACATAGGACTGTTGCCTACAGAGGCTGGAAGAGGGTATCATGTTCCCTAGAACTAAAGGTACAGATAGGTGTGAGCTGCCATGTGGGTGCTGAGAATTGAACCTCTGGAACGGGCAGCCAGGGCTGTTAAGATTTGAGACATTTCTTCAGCCATTCAGATCTGTTTACTATGGGCTGGTTACAGATTACAAAGGTGCGATGACTACCATTTTGATTATTTTGTTATATTTAAATCTTTTAAAATATGTATTTATTATTTTTTATTTTACATATCGATCCCAGTTCCGTCTCCCTCCCATCCTCCTTCCCTCCCCTGGCCCCAAATCCTCCCATCCCATCCCCCCCCATTCTACAGGGAGGGTGATGCCTTCCAGGAGGGATCACCAAAATCTGTCAAGTCATTTGGAGTAGGGACTAGGCCTCCCTCCTGCCTCTAGGCTAAGGGAATAGCCTACTTTCACTGTCAGTGATCCCTTAGACTGTCCAGGCCTTCTAACTGAAGCCCACATTCAGGGGGTCTAAGTCAGTCCAATGCTGGTTTCCCAGCTATCAGTCTGGGGGTCCATGAGATCCCCCTTTTTCAGGTCAGCTGTCTCTGTGGGTTTCCGCAGCCTGGTCTTGACCCCATTTTCTTATCACTCCTCCCTCTCAGCAACTGGATTCTAAGAGTTTAGCTCAGTGTTTGGCTGTGTCTGCTTCTGTTTCCATCAGCTACTAGATGAAGGCTCTATGATGGCAGATATGGTAGGCATCAATCTCATTATCAGGGAAGGGTATTTAAGTTAGCCTTTCCACCGTTGCTCAGATTGTTAGTTGGGGTCATCCTTGTAGGTCTCTGGACATTTCTCTAGAGTCAGTTTTCTCTTCAAACCTATAATGGCTCCCTCTATTATGGTATCTCTTTCTCTCTCTTTTCCTCTCGTCTATTCATCCCCTGACTCAATCTTCCTAGTCACACATGTTCTCCTCTCCTCCCCTCTCTTTCTCCCAACTCCCTCTCCACTCACTCCCTCACCCCAAACTCCCCATTCCCAATATGCTCAGGGGATCTTATCCCTTTCCCCTTCTGTGAGGGACCTTGTATGAATCTCTTAGGTTTCTCTTTGTATCCTAGTTTCTCTGGTGGTGTGAATTATGGGCTGGTGATCCTTTGCTCCATGTCTAAAATCCATATATGAGTGAGTACATACCAAGTTCCTCTTTTTGTGACTGGGTTACTTCACTCAGGATGGTTTCTTCAAGTTACATCCATTTGCCTCATTTGCCTGTGAATTTCAAGATTCTATTTCTTTTTCTGCTGAGTAGTATTCCATTGTGTAAATGTGAATAATGGAAAGGATTGATTATCCTTTAGTACAACTATCTCCCACAGTTTCTTCAAAAGGAAAAGTCATCCAGGGAGGCGGGGTAGTGTTTTCTATTTACAACATAATCTTACTTTGGAGATTTTAAAGGTCATTTTTGAAGAAGGGAATGAACACACTTTATCTCAGCTCAGTTACTTAAGAATGAAAACAACTTACTACTCCTTCTCTGCACTTAGGGATTCTTGTCCAAATGTGATCTAGTAATTAATAATTAGTGTAATTAACCTCGAAAGTAAAATGTGCTGGAATTAGTTCCTCTTGTTAATAAATTGTGAGACTTTTCCTGGACATGCACCTGCTCTAAACAGCAAAAGAAGAAATAACATTTAATAAGCAGAGTCTTTACATTAAATTGGAAATGTTAAAAACAACAAAAAGTTGAAGCAATGAGGCACATGACTACTCCATCCTCGGAGGCAGTGAGGCACATGCCTAGCCCATCCTTAGAGGCAGTGAGGTACATGCCTGCCCCATCCTTGGAGGCAGTTAGGCAATCCTCAGAGGCAGTGCATATCCCAAGCCTGTCCATGGCATTTGAGCCTCCAACTGTTCTAGAGAGTCTCACCTAGCTCTGACAGGGTCACTGGCTTCCTCCTGACTTATCAACCACAGCTCCTCAGTTACTAAGGTGCCAAAAAACTCACCTCTATTTCTTACAGGGCACTGGTTTACTTGCAATAAAGTTTTCATAATGATAAGGAAAACATTTATTCATTGAGTGCCTGATAGGACCAGATACTCTACTAGTCAGAACATATGGAATGTAAGTATCAAACATAAAGTTGCAGGATATCAGCTAATGGTATTCCCATATGTCACTGAATGAGTGACAGTCTTCAGTGTTTCATTAAATGTGTATTAGGAAGTGAACCACAGTTGATGACATATAGACAATGAAGCCAGGAATGACAGACTTGTTTTCCGCAGAGCTTTTAGCTGCTGCAGCCACTGATGTTCTCAGACAGCTGGGGCAGTTCTCAGCAGTGCACTTCAGACCTGGTGGTGTGACTAAGTCACAAAGTCATTTCTGACTCTGAGATTTAGGTTTTTATTTGCTAACTAATGCAACCAAAGAAACAAATCATGAAACATTGATTATGAATCCAAATATTTTACAGCATGGGAATAGCCCTGACTTCTGTGTCAGTGACAGGAAGAAGTTTCTGGAAGGTAGGTCTAGAGCAACTGATGCAGAGCACAGGTTATCCCTGAACAGCACTGATGTCAACACGGCTGCTGTGGCCCAACAGCCACATGGAGCAGAGTAGCGAAGGGCAGGCTGATAAGCACGCAGGGCTACTTCTTCATCTCCAGGATGGCACTTCCTGGTCCACGGCTCTTAGCACTGCAGATGTTACAGTACTGTGCAGGAGCGTTCTGAAAAGAAATAAAAAGCACGGGTTAAACAACTGTCTCCCTTCATATCCAGAAACATGATTATAGCATCATTCAGGGGGTGGAGGGCTTTGAAGCGGTTAAATATCATTCCTTGCTCCGGACAAGACATTTTAGTTCCAACATGCTCTTTCTACTGTCACTCTAAAACTCAAAGAACTGAGGAGATGGCTCAGTTGGTTAAGTGCAAGAACAAGGACGTGAGTTCAAGCCCCAGAACCTATGTTAAAACCAAAACCAAAATGAGGCGTGGTAGCATGTGCTTCTGATCTAGTGCTGGGGCATATGGACAAATGGGTCCTTGGGCTCACTGCTCGGCTAGCCTGAATGACTTGATAGGACCCTGTTGCAAAGGGATGGCTCCTAAGAAATGACATCTGAGGTAGTCATCTGGCCTCTGTGTGTATGCACAAACACATGCACATGTAGTTGCACACACAGGCAAAAAAAGTGGATACTACAGCAAAACCAGCCTTGGGGGTAACAGCACCATGCCACACAAGGCAGGCTGAGAAAGCTCCACTACTTTCAAATGTTTTCTACCACACAGATCACAGCCCAGTAGTGAAGTCATTAGCATTATTTCACTGAAGTGGGCACAATTCTATGTTATACTATATATTTCACATTTGGAAAGTAAACAAGATATCTTTATGACAAAAAAAAAAAAAAAAAAAAAAAAAAAGGAAGGAAGAAAGAAAGAAAAGTCAAACTCTGAGAGGATTCCAGAACCCTGTTCACACACCAAAATCCATAGCTATGCAATTTGCAATTCCTTCTGTTCTGGATAACACCCCCACCCCACCCCACCCCTGCCCCGCCCATCTCCTCAACTTGACACAAGTTATAACAAGTTATAGCCACCAGAGAAGAGGGAACCTTCTTTGAGGAACTGCCTCTATTACACTTGCCTGTAGACAAGTGTGTGGGGCATTTTCTTGATTAATAATTGATGTGGGAGGGTCAAGCCTTGCAGGCAGTACCACCCCTAGGCATGTGGTCCTAGGTTAAATAAGAAAGCAGGCTGACCAAGCAAAAAAATCCATGATCTCTGCTTCATTTCTGGCCTTTATATTCCCACCTTGATGTCATTCCATGATGACTCTAACTTGTAAGCAAATAAAGCCTTTCTTGACCAAGAAATGTTTTGTTGGTGTTATATGAACGTAACTGGACAGAGAATTAGATCACTGTTGCCTACAAAAGCACATAACCTAATTATAGTCCCTGTATATTTAAAACCTCTCCAATTACTTACAATATTAAATACAATGTAATGCTGTTTTGTATAGGGAATAAACACAAGAAACGAAAAATGTATATACTTAGTACAATGTACCCTTTCTTCAATATTGCTGATGCAAGGTTGGTTCAATCCATGGATGCACAACCATGGATTCAGCAAGAGCTACAGGACCAACTGTCTTGTCTAATAGAATCAAGAAAGCCAGATCCATAAAGATGATATAGTGTAGTTGTGATTAGTCTTATTTGATCTGTTTCTTTTTAGCTGATAGGTGTCAAGCTGACAACGTACCATGCTTGGCATGGGTAGGCATTCCTTGTGGAACATGTGTCGACAGTGGAAGACCACCACACTGAAGGGCTTAGCCGCATCTGCAAAGGGTTGGAAACAGAGGAGAAGAATTCAGTGCAACAGGCAGACCAGGAGATGGTTCAGCCAGCCCTGAACAGATTTCCCAGCAACAGCAACACTTGAGGCTTCCTTACAAAAGCATCTTGGGGTGAGGAGCCCAAGCACAGCGCTGGTACTAGAATCACTTTGCTATGAACTATAGTTTTCAGGTTACTTGTTTGGCCAAATGAGCAGTGCAGTGTAACACAAAAAATAAAAGGCCCAGAAAGGTCAGATATTTAGGTTTAACCTGAGGATCAGGGAAGCAAAGCAGCCAGGCTACCAGAGAGCTCTTACCTCTAAAAAGGGCTGGGGCGTTCCTATTCTCAGTGTGGCTAGAGAATGAATGCCTCATACTGAGACCTTGCTCCTGTCTTACATACTTCACCAATGCAGGGATTAAAGGCATGTGATCCCAGGTGATGAAATCGTCTTTGTGTGAGGTGTTTCTCTTTAGGACTGCATCAATCTTGTGTAGATCTGGGTGGCCTTGGATTCACAGAGATCTGTCTACTTCTTAATTCTGAGTCCTAGGATTAAAGGTGTATTCTACTACCACCTAGCTTCTGGCTGCTGGGATTAAAGGTATGTGCCTTTAAAGTGTGGCTTCTATGGCTTGTGGCTGATTTTGCTTTCTGAGTCATCAGAAAAGCTTTAATAAATCATAAATAGTATATCACTACAGTGCAGGATAATTTCACAGCAAATATTGTGATGTTTATTTGAAAAACTGGAACGTATGTATTCCCATGTGTGTCTTGACCACAATTCAGATAATGAAATCAAGCTTGTAGCTTGATAAAATGTTTCAGTTCACTTTATCTTCACCGAGACCTCACACTGAGGCTGGAGGCAGAACTGGGTCAGGACCCCAGGCTCTGCATTTTACTATACTTCTGTTTGGTCAGGGCCTCTCATCTGCTTCTGTTGTATGGCCAGATTAGTTCAGGTAAGACCTAGTGCCCTCCACAGAAGCATCCTTGGCCCCTTTCCACTGAAAAGTACCTAAAGCACCTTGATTTACAGAAGCACTTAAACCCTGCTCCCTTGGGGACAGAGCTTGTGTGAAATGACTTCCATGCTCCTCTGCTATGGAATACTTCCTAATACCAGCTAACTGAGCAGCAAAGTCTCTGCACTTTTCCATGCTGATTTGTATATTAAAATATCCTCAAAACCATGCTTTGATTTCTACTATCAAACTATGAGCTTCCTTTCTCATGTCAGAATGACTTTCAATAAAGAACATTTTCTTATGTATGGTATTCCACCAAGAAACAGGAACAGAAGCCTCTACCTATCAATGAGTCAGTCAAATTTGATGCTGAATGCTGTTCCCACCAAGGTGGGCTATGGACTGGGCACCTAGAACTACAGTGAACCTGAAGCCACTCATCAAGTGCTCCCCAGATATCCACATGGGTTTTTTCCCTTAGAATTGAAATATCTGGATGGTTAAGTTTTCACTTTGCTTTGCCTTTCTTTTGATGAATCTCAGAGAAGGGCCCCTAACCAGATCCATTAGCATCACCTTATTAGAAGTACCACCTTTCAAGCCCACACTCCCTGGAACTCTGAGCCCTGTGGCAGGGCCAGCAGTGGGTTGATGCAAAGCTCCAAGATGCTGACACACCCTGGTCTGCAGTCAGCAGCAGCAGAATTCACAGAAGCAGGGAAGGGACTGACATCCTTCCTCAATTGTAATGTCACACAGTTTTACAGGCACTCATCAGCTAATTTCAAAATCTTAACCTTTGGGCGATGCTTTCCCCTGTAGGCATCTTACCTGTTGGGAGGATGGGAGAAAGGCACGATTCACAGATATTCTCTTCTGTAAGAAAACACACACACTGCAGTTAAGCACATTTCTGTTTGCCTGGCCTCTCTGGAAAGCATGGCACAGGGCTCTGAATGTTCTTTCAGCTTTACCCACCATCGACCAGAACACCTTTCATTTGGGTTCTGTGCATTTTCTTCAGCAACGACAAAGAGTCAGCTACGAGGATTTTCTTGCAGCCTTCCCGAAGCAGAATCTAATGTGCATGTTTGAAAAGAAAAGACCAGTCAGTAGTAACTCAAACATCAGGAGTGTCTAACTGAGGAATCAGAAAATGTCAGAGGCACTTATTGGTTTGCCTGCCAAACATTATCAAGTGTGCCAGGCCTTATTCTTGGCTATTTATTTGTTGTTATGACCATAGTTTGATATTATTAAATCAAGTACAAATCCTAAAGTTTTGAAAATACCCTGCACCAAAATTTTACTGTTATCTCACAGGCATTTGCACTTTACATGTTGTTGCTTGCTGGCACTTTGGTCCTTGAATGGCTCACATAGCCCAACCTTCAGATCTTTGCACAGGATGGAAACCTTGCCTTTCCAAAGCCATCTATTAATTTAATAAACTCATCTACCCTCTGACAAATGTGCTGGGTCTGCCATGAGCCAGACAGTAGTTGGTGCAGATGAGAAGTGTGCAGAGCAGTCCTGTGATTACCTGTGCTTATGGGTCACTGTAAGTGCTCTGGTGCCCTTTGGCTTTCTTCACAGTGACGTTACTCTCAGTTCTAAACTTAGATGTGCGATTTTCTTCCACAAGTGCAAATTCACACCACTGGGAATAGGAGTGGGGTAAGCAGGCAACCACAGTCCTCCATGGCAAACCACAAGAACATCAGCTCTGCATGAATCCAGCTAGAAGCTGCCCCCAAATCATATGACATGACACATTCAGGACCAGAACTGATGATTACAGTTCTGCCCCTATGGCTTCCAGTATTTGGTTATGACAAGCAAGACTGCATGACTTTAATATTCTCGTGTTCACTTTGATATGACTTGTAGAGGGCCTCTCCTCCTGCTTTTCTTATCATTTTCATGAAAATGTGTTTTAATATGCAGGAATACTCCTGGCCTAATCTCCCAAATAATAGGTTTATAGGCATGTACCACGCTCCTTAGATTTAACTTCTCTGTCAGATTCTACTAGAAATGTAACATATTTTGGTTTTCTTTTAAAAATATTTTTTTTAAATAGAAATCATATAGCATATAAGAAAAAGGAGAAAAACAATACACCAAAAAAATTATCTACAAAATATTGATGTTGGCAAACTTTCCAAAAATTGGTTAGCAATTACATGATGCTGTTGTCATCCAATATCAAAATAATAAGACTCAGTTTCAGCCCCTCTGGTGAAGGGCTCAGGAAGCACACTGCCTGGGCAGGAATGGAGGGCACAGTCCCTGGAACACATACACCACAGGTGGTAAGGAAAACAGCACACAGGGGAGGGTCTAGGCCCTGCTCCAAATGATATGACAGACTTTGAAGACTCCCCATGGAAAACCTCACCCTCCCTGGGGAGCAGAAAGGGGAGGGGCTGGGGTTTGGTGGGGGTGATAAGGGAGGATGGAAGGGTGAGGGAACTGGGATTGACATGTAAAAACAACCTTGTTTCAAATTTAAAAAAAAAAGGGGGGGGGGGGGAAGAAAAAAGAAAACAGCAAAGCCAAAGGACTAAGGACTCTTCTGCTAGAACTGCATTTCTATGCAGGTACACCCTACCTGCTCACAGAAAGTATTTGCCAGGTACATTTTCAGTTGTCAAGAACACATGGGAAGGAAAACTGCAGTGACACTTTCTACCCAATTCTATCAAAATCCAAAGCTCTAAACTAGAAACATAGGAAAGGATTGTAAGTGTAACTGACATGATGCTAATAAGGTAGTTGTCAGAAAATGAGAGTCTTTTGACTCAACATCTGCAATAGTTCCGGGCAACCAAGGGAGGCCAGTGAAGGAAGACAAGGTGGAAATCCTCCACCTTGTCTGGACTGGCCTACTTGACAGGAACATGGCAGAGCCAGGGGTTCAGGATAGGACAGGTAAATTAGGAGCTGTAAAGTCACAACAAAGTAGGCAACCATCCCAGGGAGGGCTTTCAGGCAGTGGGATCTGGCCTCTCAGAGTGATTGTCGTATTAAAGGGACAAGCCTATGAGATCTAACTAAAACAGCTTTGTCCTGATGACACCTCACCACCTGGAGAAAAGTAGATACACTATTATCAACCCTGCTTAGTAACGCTATTGACTTTAAGAACTCTACCAAGATAAACTACTGTCTCATATCAACTTCATAACACTAGTTTCTCTCTCAAAAATGTTTATTGGCATTTCTCAGAAGGAACAATATTACCTTTTCAGAAGTTCTTCCATATGGAAGTTCCTTCTATTTTTCCCAGATTACACACCTAAGGACCAACTTCTTCCCTCATCCTTTCAACCACCCTTGTTCCTTTCCACTTCCCCTTCATGATTTGTTTCAAAGAAACAAGCTGCAACTGGACATAGTCTATGGTAAATTTCAATGAGCACATACTTATGGCGTTGACAACCAACTTGAGACTTTAGATTTGCTCTGTATTTTTTTCTGATTCCTCTATAGCACACATCCATGGATAATAATCCCAAGTAAAAAGGAAACTGCAGCCTCGCAGATAATTCACAATTCACAAATCAATAAAGAAGCACACACCAGAGAAGTCACTATGGCTCCTTAGAAACAGCTGCTGTGCAGAATGTGCCAGAAAAACTGCCAAGTTTCTGCAGTTTTTATTTGAAAAGGCTCTGAACACTGGGATTTTGCTGGCTTTGCTTTATTCACTTTGCACGTGCTTCTCCTTAGAATGCAAATGGCTGCCAGCAAGCTGGCCTTCAAGCCCCAGGAGTTTCCTCACTTCCAGCCTCCTCTAGGTCAATGGTGTCATGGGACTTCAATTCTACTTGGAATGCTTTGCTCTTTTGGATTACTGCCAAAGATAACTAAGTGCAGGGAGGGGGAAAAATGGGAAAGATAAACGTAAAGGTCTACTTTTCAGTTTAAAAAGGCTTTAAAATCATGACTGTATTTAACGTATAAAACACAAAGTATATATGAACTAAATGAATCAAGGAAAGGATGGCTGGCCCACACAGGCCACCTGTGTCATTTAGATATGATGATAAGACCAAACTGAAATTATTTGTAAAGAAAAAAGTCCATTTGGTCTCAAAAGCTTATTTCAAGGATTTGCATGTTTAAAAACCAACTCAGGAAAAAAAAAAAAAAAAAAAAAAAAAAAAAGAGAGAGAAGTTAGATAATATGAGTGAAAAAGAAATTCATGCCCCAGCCCCCAAAGGCAGACAAGAAAGAAGTTGCTGATTTCTTTAAATTGACTGTCTCTTCAATTTTAAGTAAGAAATGTAAGCATAGGAAAATGTTTGTAGACTTGGAGATAACTACAGTGCAACTGGGACAAGAGTCCTCAGGTGTAAAATAACACATGCTGACCAGTACAGGCTCAAGCCTCTGCTCTCAACAAGGGCTCGGTCCCCACACCTCCAGCCTCCTAGGAACCCTTTCCAACAGGTTTGCTGCTTTCTCCAAAGTGTTACATATGAAGCCAGGAAGTAGTCCTAACTGGCAGATGCTTTTTATGAATTACCTGTTAGAGCTAATGCTGTCCTGGATGAAAAGGGCATGGTAGGCCCTCTCAGTAACTGAGTTTAAAATTAGGTCAGCATCTGTACATACCAGCAAGTCATTAACCTTTTGGAGCCTCAGTCTTCTATTCTGAGCAGTAGGGCTAATGCTAATTAGAGGCCCATTATGAACCTAAAACATCTATCAAAAACCAAGTAGTTAGTTACAAAGGTTCTGATTTCCATTTCCCTAACCTCACCTGTATCTGAGGCAGTGAGCATGCTCAACCCTGCTAACTTTTACTTGAAGAGAGCTACTGTGTTAGAAAATATGAAATGGCAACATCGGGAGAGTGGTTTGATCTACCTCCCTCTCATTTCAATTAAGAGCTGCCCACATTACAATGCTACACTGTAAGTTTCCTCGATGTATGCATTCAATGAATTATCTGTTTAAAAAGGACATTGAGAAGGTGTATGACAGCATACCGGTGACATATGACCTCAGGCCTTTATGTCTGAAGGGTCTTTATATATTCTAGGGTCACTGTTACCTCATACATAGGATTCTTGGAAATTCATGGATCGTAATATTTCCCTCAAATTTAGAAGACTTATGGGGGGGTGTTGTACTCTTTTATTATAAATCAGAACACGAATTGTAGTTTTAAGAAACAAACAAAAAAAAAAAATGAAGACCGATATAATGAAATAAAAGTGTGTCTGTGAAAACCTTCTGGGAACTGCCAGAGACTCCAAAGAGAGCTGGCATAGTTTTAGGACTACCCCAATAGGTTGCTTAGATGAAGATAAACAAATGGCCACTAATAAAAATGAGCAGAGCTTCTCCTGGAAAGGGAAAGAAAAAGAAAAATGAGAGAGTGAGGGGGGAGGGGGAAGAGAAGAGAGGGAGGAGAAGAGAGCTAGAGAGAGGAGGGGGAGAGGGAGAGAGGGAGGGGGGAGGGAGAGGCCGAGCTCCAGTGGGGCAGCACTAGTGTAATAATCTCTGTGGTTCTGTCCCCAACTCCTTGCTCCTTTCTCTTCCTCATAGTTTTTCTACCCAGGGACTGATGAATAACAAAGACTCTCTGGACCCAGTGGTAGGATAACTCTGGATCTCCTCAAATCACTACCCACCTGCACATTCCCACAGTATAAGGAACGCTGTCTATGCATTTATAATTAGGGGGATAGGATACCGACTTACCAGCTGTTTTAGAGGATGACTTTTATATTAAATGTTCATTTTAGATCTAAAACTTTGCCAGAACCATGCAAATTTGTTCACAGGAAGTGGATGAAGAGGGAGACTGCAACAGTGTATGTGAGCTTCAAGAGAAGCGCACAGGGAGGGTGTGTCCGTGCTTTTGTCCGCACCACCCGCTGCTGGTAATGGAAGCATGGTCTCACCCCTCAGGCCCAGCTCCAAACACTAGACTAAGAATCCATGACACCTGGTAGAGGTGTCATGGTGGTCTAAAAACACTCTTCATACATTTCAATTTGAAGCCTCAAGCATATCCTGCTCTACCTCAGGAAGTAGGGCCAAACAAAGTGCAGGATACAGGGTATTGCTAGTTGGCTCCTGGCCCTACTTCCTCCAAAGCCCACTTGCAAGCCTGAGATGGCAGCCTCCTTGCCTGGATCACTGTTCTGCACTGGAGAACTAAAAAAAAAAAAAAAAAAGTAGGCGCTTCTCCCTATTAGCTTGTTCCTAAATTCTCATTCTCTTCCTCTTTTTCTTTCAAATAATCTCTCTAGTGCCATCTGACCCCCCCCCCCCCCAAGGCCACTGGCCATAAATACCAGCATAAGGTTAGGCTCTGAGGAACAGGCCCTCAGTCTCTTTGCTTCAACAGAAAACACACTTCTTCACTAATCCATCTCCTACACAGTGCTGGCAAGTGTAGGTTCCAGACTGTTCACTTCCATCTACAGGAAAAAAACCTCCTTTCAAGTTGTTCCTTCCAGTCATAAATCAGTTCCCTGAAGATCACAAGGATGTTGGAATTTCCTCTGTAGTTCCCCTTTGCCCATACCAGCCATTTCTCAGAGTCCATTCAGTTGATTCCATAAGGCCCTGTCCTCTCAATTTCTCACCTAATTCTATTCCAGCCACTTTTACCCCTCTCCCCCTTTTGAATAGATGTTCACTATAACTATGGAAATGCTACAGAAATAGTGTCACACTCCAGAGGACAACTGTTGTCCCTCTGGTCTGCCCCCTCCTGCCTGTTTTTTCACTGATCCTTGGTGTCATCTCCCTGAGTTCACAGGTACTTCTCTACTTTGCACCCTTCACAGTGACCAGTAATCTGATTCACCTGCATCATAATGTTCTTCTTACAACCTGAAAAATGTCTACTGTTGCCAGGAAAGCAAGTTCATCCATTACAACACAAACATTTTCAAATGACTGTAGAAAGTATGGTCTGCATTTTAAAAGTAAGTGTATTTTAAACACTTCCAACTCCTAAGGAAGCTACCGGGATTTTGAAACATATTCATTGTTCAATCTTTTAAAGAGAAAGGCTAGGATACTTAGTAACTAGTGTATTAATTAGTTATCTGAAAATAATGGGTTCCATTTTTAACACAAATTTTGACCTAAAGGGGAAATAAAGTAGCACCATCATGCCAGTCAAGGCTCGTTAGATTCCATGTTTATGCATGTTAGGGCTCATTAGATCCCATGTTTAAGCATGTTGCAGATAACAAAAGCCTTTGATGGCTGCAAGGAAAATTATTTGGGTGTTTAAAGATATAGCTCATTCTCCCAAATTGCATACAATATTTATTTTCTCTAAGAACATCTTGTGGCCTGTTTAAATAGTCTGCGCAAGATTTCTCACTCCCTCTTTAATGCTATGGTGCATTTACCACACAAGTGAAAAATACCTTCTCAAGAGAAAGTCTGGAGGTGAGTGAGGAATCAAATGGCTTCCTTAAGCTGAGATGTTTGCAGTTTCTTCATTTGAACAGGTTTCCAAACATTGAATTGCGAAGTCTGACAGGCATCTAAGTACCTTAGACTTACTTATCTAGAAACAGATGAACCTGCTCACTCATAGGCTCCTCTGTCTAAGAATACTTACCTGCAAGTTATAATCTTGCAGAATTTTAACCAAGGAATCTCTCAAATTGGGGATCTCCATTCCTTCCTTTATACGGTGGATTAGTAGAATCGGGTCCACATGTGTGCCAATGTTGTTTAACAAGCCAGTAATAAATGCTACAAAACACCATGTAAAAATAGCACATGAGCCACTCTGGAGGCAGAGGCAGACAGATCTCTGTAAGCTCAAGGCCAGCCTAGTCTACAAAGCAAGTTCCCAGACAGCCAGGACTGTTACACAGAGAAATCATGTCTAGGAAAACAAAAATAAACACCCAAAACAAACAAAAACAAAAAACCACCCAAACAAACAAACAAAAACACACGAGCAATATTAAAATGCATTTTATTTGTTCACAGTTCAACTTTAGACCAAAAGTAACAACCTATTTTCTTCAAAGTAAGTGTTAAAAATGTGAATTCTGAAACTCTTAAGAACCCATCCTTTCACCCTCCCTGAGGAGCAGAAAGTGGATGGGATTGGGGTTGGGAGGGTCCAGGGGAGAAGGGGAGGGTGATGGAACCAGGATTGATATGTAAAACAAGCTTGTTGCAAATATAAATTTAAATTGCACTTTTAAGAACTAATTTCCTCTAAGACCATGTTTCTCAACCTGTGGTTCATGGCCCCTTTTGGGGCCACATATCAGATATCTTCATTATAACTCATAATAGTAGCAAGATTAGTTATGAGGTAGTAGCAAAAATAATTTTGTGGTTGGGGGGGTCATCACAACATGAGGAAATGTATTAAAAGGTCATAGCATTAGGAAGGTTGAGAATCACTGCTCTAAGACTCTAAGACATAAAGGAGAAACTGAGAACATTTTACGAAAAGTTAAATGGTTACCTTTATTCACACTTCTTCAAAATCAGTTTATTGTCAAAGTGCAACCAGCACTGAGAACTTCTGAGCACTCAGCTATTATATACTTCAATATTTTTCAAGGTTAGCATATATTGTGTCTTTCTTTTACAGACAGGGGAAGTGAACTATTTAATTTATCCAGGGCCATGAAGCTCATAAATAATGAACTCAAATTCCAATCCAATGTTAGATTCCTTATAGTTTCAAGAGAGAAAATCCTCAAGGTCTATTTTAACTGTAAGCTACTTTCATGAGAGTATAGCCCCCTAACTTACAATAACAACAAACCAACAGCAGCCGCTAACCAAATCACAAAGCAGCAGGGAGATGAGAAAGCCTACGCAGATGGCTGAGCTGAGCAGCAGCACTTAGGAACTCTCAGCACTGTGTTGATAAAATGGGCTGTAAAAGGCAGCACTTCAATTCAGAACTTCACCCATGGCTACCATCCAGTAAGTTATGTGTTTTCATACATAGTCTGGAAAAGGCTCCGAGATTTCACGCTGAGGGCCCCTCTGTATACAAACCCAAACCAAGCCAAACCAAGACTCATGGCTTTTATCATCAGAGCTGTAGAAGGGATGGTAAACTGTTTAACTACCTGCTCTTCCTAACTTTCAGGATTGCAGAGCAAGGCTCAGGCCATTCTGCATGGGAGGAGTAAAACTCCCCAGAACTTACCCTGCTGGACTCACTGGGTATGCTTTACCATTATTACATTCATCTATTTATTCCCTTATATTGATTTATACTCTGTCTCTCTCTCTCTTTGTGTGTGTGTGTGTGTGTGTGTGTGTGTGTGTGTATGTATGTATGTATGTATGTATGTGAGAGAGAGAGAGAGAGAGAGAGAGAGAGAGAGAGAGAGAGAGGATTCACATGCCACCAGGTACACGGGTGTGGAGGTTAAAGGACAATTTAAGGGATTATAGTTTCCTCCCACTGTGTGGGACCTAGGGATTAAACCTCTCCACCAACCCACTTGGTCATAATTTTAGCTAAATGTACCCTGAGATAACTCTTCCTCACACAATAGGCTATCATATATACTGACAAAAAACTCTATAGTCAAATGGTCTCTCTGCTTACGTGGTTTGTCGATGGAATACAGAATCAGGTCTTCCCAGAGCTCTCCATCATCTTGCTCCTTGGCAAACTCAATTGCTTTATCAACATCATGTAATTCCTCCATGATCATCTTGAGGGCACTTCGACTGTTTCCCATTCGACCTATATGGGGTGAGGAAGTGTGGAATACTTTAATCATTTTAAAAAAGAACAACATATTTCTTAATTGGTTTACAATTGAAAGAAAAGACTACAGATGACTTTCTTACACAAAACTATCATTTCCTATCTTTGACAGCCAAATAAATATTTCTTATTTATTGAGTGTTCATGTTGTGTAGAGTATTCATTAGATGGTGTTATGTGAATGACATCATTTAATCACACTATGATTTTAGGTGGGAGGCTTTACTTAATCCCTATTTTATTTTTATATTTTTATTATTTAACTTTATGTGCATGGGTATCTTGGCTGAATGTATGTACTTGTACCACGTGCGTGCTTAGTGCCCACAGAGACCAGAAGAGGGCATTGTATCCCCTACAACCAGAGTTACAAAATTGGAATGTGCTCCCATGTAGCATGCTACAGCTAGGGATTGAACCTGAACCCTCTGGAAGAACAGCAAATGCTCTTAACTGCTGAGTCATCTCTCCAGCCTAAAATAATGAATATTTTAAAACATTTTTTCCTTTGCTTTTGAGACAGCCTCACTATGTAGTTCTAGCTAACTTGACATTAATTATGTAGACCAGGCTGGCCTTAAATCCACAGAGATCTGCTTGTGTCTGCCTCTTGAGTACTAGGGTTAAATAAAGGCATGTGCCAACATACCTGGCCTTAAAATTACATATTACTTTTATTTTCAAAATGAGGAAATATACTATTTGTAACTTGACAAGATTATGTAACCACTGAATTATACAGTTGGATTTTGAGCTGGGTCTTTTGCATTCTGGCATGCAATTTCTTTTAGATTAAAATTCTGATACAGTTAAGACTTTTTAAAACCTCAGAAATAAGTATGCATATTGTGCTCATTAATCCCTTGGCACTTCCTAATTTTCACAAGCTATTATTAGACTTCATGTAGAAGGCCTTATGTACTAGAGGGCCAACTGTCTGGATGAGGCTTATTATATTTAACCTCTCTCTTGTTCCATGCAGGGACCAGTAAAGGGCCATGAGTCATATACTGCTCCTAAGACATTATGATAAAGATGAATTCAAACAGATACTTCTTGGAGGATCACAGTTGGAAGAAGTAAATGGATAAGCTACTTGGAGTTTTGATGAGAAGCCCCAAACAGTGCTCAAGTAGAAAATACAGCCTCAAATGTTTCTCCTAAGGAAAGTAGATCCCATGATTGGACAGTTCTAGGGCTGATGCTGAACATCAATGAATTTGCTACTCCATACATAAATTAGGAGACTTGGGTTCATTTTCAACAAAGGCCAAAGAAGCCAATGACAGTGAGTGGTGTGAGAAACATGGTATGTGGGTAGGGACATGATGATAGAGATATCCTCACATTTAGTCTATGCTGCATGTCACCAGCCCCCACACAGCTTCCTCATGAAGTTTCCATGCATTATGGAAAGTGAAGAAGCCTAGTTCCTGGTATACATCACACACAAGCTCTGCCATGTCTGGAGGTGGTGCCAGAGATGGAGCACGGAGAGCTGCAATACAACCTGAAGCTTTGCTCTTGTTCCAAAGCCCCATGTCTAATTATTAAGGATGTGAGTTTTGAAAATAAGAATTGCTTCATTTCAGTGTATGGTGATCCAAGCTAAATTATACACTAAAGGATGGGACCCAAAAGCCTAAATCTGCTAGCTCACCTACAATTTTAATCTGTGTTGTGAAATTTGATACATTTGATGCTTTTTTATTACACATTTGCTAAATGTTCTTTTAGAAGCATGGTTCCAATAACCACACTCTGGAATCTCCTTTTCCATGTATTACATTTTTATAGAAACTAGGCCTGAATGTCTGTCACTTTGTTCCAAAATCAGTGTCCCTTCTTACATGCTTTACAACAAATTTTCACTCCATTTCTATGTTTATGGTACTAAAATGAACAAGTGCTACTTACTCAGAAGGTAAACTGTCTCTTCTACAAAGTTTCTTTGTTGACAGATCTCAAGAGCCTTTAATTAAAGCAGGGAGAAATGTTACTATGGACTACCAAACAGGAAATCAATATTAAGAGAGCCACTTAAAGTCCTTACAAGCTTGGAAGAATTTTTCATTGTTTTCCTTAAAAAAAAAAAAAATACGACAAAAGAAAACACATCTCTGCGGCTCTTGGTTTCCATTCACCTTTCAGTTACTGGATCTACATAACTGAACTAAGATCACATGAAGCAACATAGCATTCTATCAGCAGAAGCTGAGAGCAGTGTTGGAATGTGTTTTCTTATAAAGAGTTCTCTCATTTTATAACACTGCTTCCACTCTCATCTATAGTCATTTGTACAAACCATCTCCTCTCATAGTGTAAGGATGCTCTGTGTAATGACGAATCACACAACCACTCGAAATTAAATACCATATATTTACTATGCTTTCCCTGCTGGATGCTGAAGGATCAGGTTGAACCAATGGAGCAAAGGTGAGGATAACAGTAACAAGAAATGACCCTACTCAAGGAGACAGAGAAGGAGTCAAGAAACAGAGAAGCAGGAGAAGAGACAGCACATCTCCTCCAGCCTCTTGGCCACAAGAAGGATGACAAAGAAATGACCACATGTCTTTCCATTATTGGCACAGTGCAGAGGGAGGACTGTGTACATGGAGTATCAACACCGAGTTCATGCCATTCTCCCGTAACCGCCACAGAGAGGTGGCGCCTGAACTAGGTACAATTCACCAGGGAAATCTCATGTCACAGATCATTCTTCTGCAGTATCTACTTGGTGGCCTTGTCCAGCCATCCTAGTGTGGCTCATCCTTCCTGACCTCTACAGTGTCCCCTTTCTGAAAATTTCTCCTCATTTCTTACTCCTGACTCCAGAAAGGACGGGAGACAAGTACTGCCACACTTCACATTGGATCAGATTCTGGGTGTCCCTCCATCTTCATCCTGGATATGGCTTCACAATTCTTTATCATTAGAAAAACCAACTACCCATCATATTAGTCATTCAATTTCCCTCTGCAGGGACCATGTGCTTGTTAAGCCCTGCGCTTAGCACAATGCTGGCTGCACAGTAGGTCTGTAATGAGTATTCTCTCAAATGAGGAGACATAAACATTTCAGAACAAGTTAACAGGGTTGCATATTTAAAGCAGTTATGTAGAAGCAACCAGTCATTCAGGCAGTTTTGAAAATAAGAATCAAAGCCACAGAAAGAACAGCTTGAGTTAATCATCTCTTTGTGTTCTGTGATCTATCTTTGGAAATAAGAGCAGGAGCTGGTCTTGCTATTTTGATTTTTGACTTGAATTTTCCTAGAGACTATATATTTAAACCAAATAAGGAATAGAGGTGGGGTCTGATCACAAAGATCAATGTATCTAAATAAAAAATAAATAGGGAAAGAACTTCCTTAGTCTAGAATAGGGATGAAGCCAGGACAGTGTTTCAAGTCATATGTACTACTGAGGCCAGAAATGAGTCACACTTGGATGGTACATTACAGAAAACACTTATGCTAAGTGGCTGTTTAATTTACACTGATTTGTCTTACATTATTCTCCTTAAAAATGATGAAATTCTAGAAAAATGTGGGAGTTAAAAATGAGTGAAATAGAAAATAAAGTATTTACAGGACATAGAATTCTTCTATTATTGACACAAATGTGGCATAATACTTATTTTAGATTCTCAAATGTTTGGATACTATGTTCCCTGTAGAAAGATTCTAGATGGATAAAAAGAAGCAGAGGGAAAATGAGCGACAGACAAACATGTATACACATTCAGAGAGAGAGAGAAAGAGAGAGAGAAAAAGAGAGAGAGAGAAAGAGAGAGAGACAGAGAGAGAGAGAGAAAGAGAGAGAGAGACAGAGACAGAGAGAGAGAGAGAGTTAGATGGCGAAGGTGAAAAGTAAGATATCTGACAGAAATCGGGTGAAAAAAAAAAGATGCAAAAGTAGCATTCTAATTTCCTTTCTCTTGATCCAGCTTTGGGGTGGCAAGAGGAACTTTGTCAGCTGTAATTAAACAATGACACCTACCCAGCCTTGATTCTCATATATCCTAGATAATCTTTCTTTAAATACTGTAAGTGAAATTTTATCCGCTTTGTGTCCCCAGTGTGTTCACTCAAATGACACACACTGCCACCTTGTGAATGTTGTTTAGTATGAAATCATACATTCAGTTATAAACCTGACAAAATTATAACAATGGCATCAAATTATAAGATCACATCCATAAATTATGGTCCAAAGACAGGTTTGCAGCTGTATTTTTCTTGACACTTATAAGGCTAAGGAATACATTTGCTGCTGAGTGGGGATGACAGACTAGCAGAGGCAGGTACAACATGACAAAGCATGTTGGAGAAATACAGAAGCTCAGTGGCAAATGCTGAGAACAGACTGTCCCTCTGTTTATCAAACGTGGCCTCTGACAGCAGCAGCTGCACTGGCTTTGGGCAGTCCCCCTTCTCAGGCACTTACCCAGAGTCACTCTAACTCTGAGAAACAGATTCTTTGTATCACTTCAGCTTGGTATTTATTGCCATGAATTACATATTTATTCCAATTAAGCCTGTCACAGAATGCCTTTGCTGTGCCCCAAAGTCTAACCCAAAGGACCTGTCTCACAACAATGGGCCAGCAGAACCCACTGGGCTCAACAGTGGCCTTTCCTTGAACAGGAATGAAAGCAGACAGAGAGAGAGAAGATCAACAAATAACTTTAGAAAGTGGTAACTACTTCTGATTTGTCCAAATGTGAGTCAGTGGTTACCTTTTCAAGTGGGCAATGGGTACTGTCTCGGAGAAAGGGAAGGAGGTTTGGCCGATCATATTCAGCATACAGACTGATCTGTTTCTCATGGTAGCGCTGTCCCTTATGATGGTCTCTCTTGAAGAGCTTGTGTAAATACTGAAAGGAACAAGATAAGCCACAGTATCAGAATAAAAATAAAATAACCAGTTAAGTTCACGACTCTCTGTTGTTAACACCTTTCATGAAGGTTAGGAGACATGGTCTTCAGCAAGAATAACTTCTAGGTGAAGAAGAATGGGGAGGAGAATGCAACTTGAAGAGCAGCTTCTGAAACTCTGTAGAAGATTCCTGGCTGGACTGGCTGCCACTGACAACTATGTGAACTTAGACAAGTCCCTACTCACTGTGTGACTTGGGGTTTTCATCTGCAGAAAACTTCACTGAGTCAAAGCAATTCTCTTTGTGCATTACCAAGAACCATGCCTGGTTGGTTTATGCTAAGTACTACACAGCATTAGTGATGGTAAATCTTAATGTCAGCATCTTGCCACTGAAGTCAAATGCCCGGGTAACAGTCTTAGATGATAACAATTCTATTCTTGGGGCTGGGCAGATGGCTCCATGCTTAACAGCAGTGCTACTGTTGTAGAAGACCCAGGTTGGATTCCTAACACCCACATGGCAGCTTACACCTGTCCATACCTGCAGTTACAGGGGATCTGGCATCCTCCTCTGGCTTCCATGCACACCAACAAGCCATCAGTCAACTTACATACATGGGAGTCAAATATTCTTACACAAAAAATAAAATTAATCTTTAATTTTAATTAATTAATCCTAAACAAAAATTAAAATTAATCTTTTACATGAAAAGGCACAGGGGCACATGACTGTTAAAAAAAGAACCCATAGCAGGAACTAAATTAATCCTTACACATTCCTATATTCATTTTTATAGGATTAATGTAATCCTTTTGCAATTAAGTGGTACCTATATTGATGGCATCAGAAAACAAAAATAAGTAATAAAAAGAGAATAGTTATTTCATACAGTTGGACTCTAAGGGAATATTTTTCACTTTCTACTTACTAAAAAGATTGAGTTCATTTATGAAATATTCCAAAATGAATACTCAATGCTAATGTTAAATACAATATAAACTTACAACCCATCAGAAGGAGGAAGACACAATCACACAAAGTACATTCAGACCATAAGTGTATGTAACCAGGAGAAACAGTTTCCCTGAAGCTGTGAGTTAGCTGCTGCTGTGTGGTCACACCAAGACCAACACATGTACTTGGTTTCAGCAATAGAAAGCAAACTAAGACACTACTGCTGCTTTACTCTCTGGATGACAAGATACATGGGATCAAAGGAGCCCTTCATAATACAGCCATCAAACCTATAAGGAAGAGGTAGGCTTAGCTACAGTGTAGGCGAGGAGAAAAAACTATAAATCTGCTCCTTGGTCACTCTATGGTTCTTGATACAGAATAACCAGACTTGGTATCTATAATATACTACTGGCTTGTGTTGTGACTTCTGACCTGATTATATGTAATAGCATATACATAGCAACTACAGAAGAAGGTGCTTAGTCCCAGGCTTAGAATGGTAGAGAACAGCAAAACAGGATACAGTTTTCTAAAAGTCCCAATTCAATTGTGCTATGATTAATCCCAGCCACAGAGTCACAGCATGTGTCACATTCTCGTAATTTCTGCACACTGTGATCAAAGGTCCAATCTCAGCAGTGTTCTCTAAGAAAAGTTGTACGCATGGACACTCCCTCACCAATACACAGGCACTCTGTCTGCTGTTGAATTAAAAGGGCAAAGGAGACTAATGCTCACCACATGCTGCAATTCTGGTCTATCTTCTAGTTCTTCTACAACTTTTTTAATCTGAGGAAAAAGAAATAAATTAAAATGCAGTTATGAGAAGGAAGCCATACTGACAAATTACCCAATACACTTTATTGTGGGCACTCATCTAGTAATACGTGCTATGGTTTGAATGTGCCTTGCTCCCCACCAAAACCTGAGTCCATGCTTGATTCCTAATAAGATCATTAAAAGATGGTGGGACTCTATCAGAGAAGGGTTTAGTGGGAGGTGACTGATTACCATATAAGGGGATTAAACTGAACTCTTAGGTTTCATGACAGCATACAGTTATAAAACAATGAGGAGGTGGCTACTTCCAGGCTACTTCAATCTGCCTTGTTTCTTCCAGGGTGCACACATGACCTCTCACATGGCTCATTCTGTTTCCTGGTGTGCAACAGCCTACACTGACCTGCCACTCTGTCAGCAAGAAGGCCGTCACCAAATGCAGCTTCTTGATCTTGGACCAGACTATAAACCAAAGTAACCCCTTTCCTCTTGTCTGTGGTGTGTTATTAGCAACAGAGAACAGGTCTATTACATATAAAAAGACTCACTGAAATTTTATCTTCATTGTCCAAAAGCATGTCAACAGCTTTCTGAAATACAAACACAACCATAGTCACTTGTCTGCCACACAAGAACACTAAACAAAATGCAGTATCACAGTTACAGGTCAAAGGTTTATTTCTTACACTTACGAAGCACTAAGCTTCATGTTGTAAAATAATCTTTTTGTACACTGTAAATATGTGTCATTGTGATTGGCTTTTAAAAAACCTTAACATCCAATAGCTAGGTAGGAATTTTGAGGCAGAGAGGATGCTGGGAAGAAGAAAGGAATCACCAGCCAGACGGAGAAAGAGCAAGACATGCAGGTAAATGCCACCAGTCATGTGGCAACACATAGATAAATAGAACAGGTTATTTTAAGTTTTAAGAGCTAGTGGGACAAGTCTAAGGCATTGGCTGAGCTTTCATAACTAATAACAAGTCTCTGTGTGGTTTGAGAGCTGGCTGGTGGGGCAGAAAAGACTCTCTACATGCTATTTGCTGAGAAATACAAATTCAAATGTGTCTCAGTCTGAGGTCAGTGTGTTTTGTTAAACCACTGCACTACTCTATTTTTACCACTACTGTCTTCAAAATAGACAACATGTTCTAGCCCTTTGATGTCTCAACTATGTTTACAAATTCCCATGTGATCATCAGAAGCTGTGGTGAATATCGCATTACCACAGTCACAGAAGTGAGCAAGGGCTGGCCTTCTAAGAATAGGTTAACTACAGGAAAGTAAGTGAAATGCCCCAATTCTCCAAATATATAAAATCTGTGGATTCCAGTTTTCTATACCATCTATCCCATTCATAAAACATTTATTAGTTTATGACAGAGGTAGGGCAACAGCCCACCAAATAGAATAACTGGGTCTTGCTATTACCACCTTGATGTCTGTTCCAAATGATATTTTTGTTATATAAATATTATGTGTTTTATTATTCCAAAGATCTTTTCTAACTTGAAAACTATGAAATCTTAACTTTAGCTTAAATTCTCTGACTAGCAATTAGTTTCAGCTCAGCAATCTCTTTCCCACAGGTGCATATGCTAATTAGACTTTCAAGACACAGGAGAAAATGGATAAGGGGAATGTAATTAAGACTTCTCAATTACGTGTGAGTGTGTGTGTGTGTGTGTGTGTGTGTTCGTGCACACATATGCACATGCATGCATGCCTCAGAGGACAACTTGTGGGAGTAGATTCTCTCCTTTCTCTATGAGGATCTGAAGGATTAAACTCAGGTCTTCAGACTTGGTGACAGGTGCCTTCACTAGCTGAGCACTCACCCTGTCACTAGACTTTATATAAGCATCTCATACTTTTTATTAATGCATATCCACCATACTGAGGAATGGGTTTCAAAAGATGATCATACAAGCATTCCACAAACTTTGATTGCATCCACCTCCCATACTCTCTTCTACTTCTCTTAATAGTCCATTGCTTCACTCGGTTTTCCTTCCTTCTCTTTTTCTTTCTTTCTTTCTTTTCTTTTCTTTTCTTTTTTTCCTTTTGAGACAGGGTTTCACTATGTAGACCTGGCTTGCCTTGAATTTGATATGTAGACTAGCTGGCCTCCAACTCAGTGTGTACCTCTACATCAGATGGTCTCAGTTTTAATTTTACTTTCAAGACTATGTAAGATTCACACAATAGAAAATATGATTTCTCCACAAAAGAAAACATGATTTGTCTTTCTGGGACTTATTTTGCTTACATGATCTCCAGCTCCATTCACTTCCCTGCAAATGATACAATTTTGTTCTTTACGGCTGTATAAAACTTCATTGTGAATATATACCACATTTTTATCATTTTATCTGTTGACAGAAACCTAAACAGAGTCTCTTAATGTGACTACTATATATAGTACAGCAAGAAACAAGACAGTATCTCGGTGGAATGTTGACATAGGGCCATTTAGGTATATTTGCAGGAGTGGGGGAGCTGGGTCATGTTGATTCTACATTGGCTAGACTAATTTTCTGGGCTATTGAGTCCTTTACAGGCTACAATGTCACCAGGACTGTTGCCCCACCCCACCCCATGGTGAAATTTAGATGATAAAATTGAAGGCTGTAGAGAGGAAATAGAAATGAATGTCTGTGTATAGTTCATGGTTTACTTTTGATTTAGTTCAGGGCTCTGATCCTCAAAACAACACTACCCGTTTATATAGTGGGTCTTCCCACTTCAGTTTTATAGAAATGCCCTCTATCAGTTATCACAGCAAACAGCACCCTTTACAATAGCAATTCTTCAGATTCAAGAGAGCAGGCAAGGTCTTCTCATCATCTAGTCTTTTCTTGGGTGCTTTGAAATTCACATTCTAGAGGTGTGATGGCTTGAACAAAAATGGCCCCAGAAGCTCATCTATTTGAATGTTTCACAGAGTGGCACTACCAGAGAAGGATTAGGAGTGTAGCCTTATTGGAGTAGGTGTGGACTTACTGGAGAACGTGTGTCATTGAGGATGGGCTTTAGGATTTCAAGGGCCTAAACCAGACCTAGTGTGGACAGAGTTGTAGAACTCAGTTACCACATTTGACTGCATGCTGCCATTTTCCCTGCCCTGAGGACAATGGATTAAACCTATAAAACTGTAAGCAAGCCCCAATTAAATGCTTTTTTTATATGAGTTTCCATGGTCGGGGTATCACTTCATCGCATCGACTAAGACAAGAGGTCTTTTACATTCTTCATTAGATTTAATTCCAAGGTACTTGGGAGGGGTATTATGATTTTTATTTATTTATTTTTTTTTTACTTATTTCTCAGAATGTTTGTTATTGGTATATAGGGAGGCTACTGAGTTTTGCACGTTGATTTTTGGATCCTGCTATTTTCCTGAAAGTGTTGATTTAAGAGTTTTCTGGTGGCATCTTCAGGATCTCTTACATCAAGGCACAAGCCTGTAGATAGGAATGCTTTTCTCTTTCCCCTGTCCTTTATTCTAATCCCTTCTATTTCCTTGTCTTATTGTTCTGGCTAAGACTCCAAGCACTATACCCACTGGAGAACTTACAGATCTTTCTCTTATACTCAACTTTTCTTTGGAATTTTTTTCCTTTCTAGTATGTTGGTTATAGTTCTATTGTACTAAATCTTTATTATGGTAAGCTATGTTTCTTATATTTTTTGTTTTATTAGAGTGGAACCTGAGATTTTTTCATATGCCTTCCTAGGTTAGTTTTCTCTACCAACTCTGCTGAGGTTGTGATTTCTTTCCTAGAGTTTGTCAACACATAATGTGTTACCTTTATTGAACCATTCTTGTATTCCAGGAATGAAATCAACACACACATAGCACTATGTGTACAGTGCCCACGGAAAAAAGAAGTGGGCACTGGATTCCATGAACTGGAGTTAGAGATAGTTGTGAACTTACATGTGGGTTTTGAGAAATAAACCTAGGCCCTTGCCATGAATACAACTAACCACTAAGCTGTCTCCAGATGCACTTTCCTGTAGTCTTTTTTATTTTTTCCATTTACTGATTTGGGGTTTGGCTTCTAATCATTTTTCTAGAACCTTGGAATGAATCATTAAGTTATTTATTTGAGATCTCTGGTGTCTTTAATGTAAGTACCTATTCATATAAATTTCCCTCTTAGACTACTTTCATTGTATCCCCCATGTTCTGATAAGCTATGTTTTCATTTTCATTTGATTCTAGGGCAATCATTTTCCCTCCTGATTTCTGTGGTACTCTAGTCATTATTCAATAATGTGTTATTTAATCTTCATAAGCTTGTAGGGTCTGTATTTTATTGATGTCTAGTTTTATTCCACTGTGATCAGATAGAATAAATTGTTTCAATTTCCTTGTATCTGTTAAGACATGCTTTATGCTATAAAGTGTGGTTTGCTTAAAAAAGTTCCATGACTGCTGAGAATGTATATTCTGTAGCACACATGTGGAAATTCTATAGATTTTTGAGAAGTCCTTTTGTTCTATGTCATTTACTTCTTGCCTCTGTTTGTTTTTGTAATATTTTGTCAGGAAGACCTGTTTATTTTAAAGAGTGAGACACAGAAATTACCCACTTTTACTGTGCCTGTCAAATTGTTCCTTTGCATCCAGGCTGTTTCATGAAGCAATGTTCATGGCAGATGTTCAAAACTGTTAGCCTTCCTCATGGATGCCCCGGAATAGGAACTGACTTTATTTTTATTGTTTAGTTCTAAGTTTATTTTGTTAGACATTAGAATAGCATCACCTACCTATTTTCTAAGTTTTATTTGCTTGGAATATCTTTTTCTATCTTTTCAGCCTAAGGTTCTATTTGTCTTTTCACTTAAGGTATATTTGTTTGCAGATAACAAGTAGATGGGTACTGCTTTAATCCAACATTCTAGTTTGTGGGTTATTTTATAGAATTTTTGTTACTTAGCTTTGTTTACAAGGGTGTGTTCATGCATGTGGATATGTGTGTGTGTAGGTGAGAGGTTAACTTCCAGGAATTGGTTCACTCATTCCACCATGTGGGTCCCAAGTATGAGACTCAGGTTGTCAGGTTTGGTGGCAAGTGTCTTTACCTGTTGAGCCATCTTACCAGCCCTAGTCTGTCTTTTGACTGGAGAGTTATGCCCATTAATATCAAGTCACTACTAGAAAGTGTATATTAATGCCTGTCTCTTGGTTATTTTTCCTAGTGTCTTCTCCATGTAGCTTATAGGTCTTCTATAATTTTGCTTCTGAAGACTTCCTTCTCTCTGTTGTTTGCAGATGTGGAGTATCTGCAAGGGGGACCTTGTCCCCTTTCTTGCTGTTTTGTTCAGTGCTCTGGGTTAGAGTCTGCAGGATTTCTCATCACCTAGCACCTCACATGTCTGTGTTTACCTTGTCTTCTATACTCTACCACCACTGTGATGCCCCACTGCCTTTCCACACTTCTCAGCATTCTATTGGAGATACAGGGAAGTTTGCCTATCCCCATGCTGCCATCTCCATCCCTTCTTTAATCGCCTGCTTCCTTATAATCAGAGCCCCTGCATGAACTGCCAGGGAACTACATGATTCTCTGTGGTCCCTACTGACTAGACTTACAGCATGAAAGGAGGCTGAACATCTCTGGGAACAAGCTGCTGTGAAGAGCACTACTGCACAGGTTATCCTTAAGTGTGGTGTACCATGTGGAAATGTCTTCGTCCTCCTGGGGCTTGTAGAGAGCACTTTATAATTTATTTCCCAAATAAGAGCCTCAGTTTTTATGAGCATCATTTCCAATCATTACTACTTTTAATTAGATTCTTTTTACAAATGGGGAGGGGAGAGGGAGAGAGGGACAGGGAGAGGGGGAGTAGTAAGGAAAGGGAAAGTGAGAGATAGGAGAGGAAGAGAGATGGAGAGAGAGAGAAAGGGAAAGAGAAAGGGGAGACAGAACTAGAGAGAGACTGGCTGTTTCACTTTGTGAGCCCTCTTGTGAGCTGTGGAGGAGATTAGAAGACTCTGAGAGAGCCAGGAGGAGCACGGCAGTGAGCAGCTCTTCCACAGTTTCTGCTTCAGCTCCTGATTCCAGATTCATCCCTTGAGTTCCTGCCTTGGCCTCCCTCAATGAAATGTGACAGAGGATATGTAAACCATGTCAACTTTTCCCTCCCAAGTTGCTTTATCACCACAAATAAAAATCAAACTAGGACAGGGGCTAAACAGAAATTCGTTTAAATTTTCACATTGAGACACAGACTAAGATAGTTCAATAAGCCAAAGTATAGGCCTAGGTTTATCCTTCCTTCATTCGTTCATTTGTTCGTTCCTTCTTTCCTTCCTCCCTCCCTCCCCCTTCCTCCTTTCCTCTATTCTTTCCTCTCTTCCTCTTTCCCTTCCTGTTCTTATGAATTATATGAATTGTTAAAATAGCACAAAGTCCTCTCATAAAGCACTACACCAGTGTTTTAGATACAGCTCCGTGGAAGAACCAGTGCTTACTATGTATGAAACCTTGAGTTTGATCCCCAGCCCCCCTCCAACCAACAGCACAAAAAAGAGCCTGACATTAAGCTACAATGGCGTCCTCAGAATAACTATGCAAAGAAATGCTTCCAGAATGCCAACTGCTAAAATAACATGCATTATAAATTAGAGGGTTCTAAGCATGGCCAGCATATGGTCAAGTATGTGATTCACTTTGACAGGTAGCCACTGATTACACCTTTGAACAGTTAATATGCAGAAATAAGAATCATGTTACCTCTGAATCAAAATCCATTAATAAAACTATTTTATCCTTGATGGAGCTGAAAAGATTATGCTTGTGTATCAGTTGGAAAACATCTTTATGTCTTAATGTTAAGTATATTTCCAGAGCATTGCCATAATTTTTATCATAGGTGTACCTGGCAATAAAAAATTAATATTCATTAGCAGTTATAATTAAAATACACAGAATATGTTTCATAATATTAAAGACTAAAACAGTTGTTCAAATAGAAGAATTAACTTTACTAGGGGAAGTATTCACTGAGATTTAAAAACACATGGTTCCTATGTACTCTTTTACAGAGCCCTGGCTTTCCTCTCACCAAATTTGAAAAAAATAAATAATATTCAAGTAATAAATGTTCCTTCTTGTGGTCTCAGCCTCAAAGTCCATATTTTGAACTTATGGTCCAAAATGAAGGAGATACTCCTTTTGTGTAATAGAGGAACCAATTTGAATTTTTATAAGCAGTGTTCAGCTGACAAATGAGTTATATTCCAGAACTTTTGGAGGAGGCTTGTATAAAGCTGAAATATATTTTTCCTTTGAAACATGTTCTCAAACTAAGTCCATGCAGTTGAGGGAAAGCCAGTTGGACAGAAATCATCCTGCTGTTCACTATTAACCATGCTACAAAGTCCAGGGGTTTCCAGAAAAATGCTTCTGATAGAAGACAATGAGTGGTCTAATTTAGAATGTCACAATCATGACCTCCTCTGTGCTAAGTCTAATGTGGCCTGATGTCCAGGCTGTCATGGGTTCTTCTGTCAGACTTCAACAAAATCTGAAGTTTTTGGGTGCGAAGGAGAGGTGCAGCAGGTCTTCTTTCTTGGACTGCTCTATAGTATCCTAACCAGTGCCCTACACTGAGGCTCCTTGCCATTCTAGCTTATCTCTGCATCTTATACATGGCAGAAAGCCAGATGGAAGCACCCAATAAAAGGAAAACATTCATCAGACTCTCTTGCTGAGAAAGTTTGAAAGCATCCCTATAACGAAGTATGACCTGTAACTGTACAGATAAAGATCCTGCTGCAGAAAAAGCAACAGGTTTGCAAACTTAAGAAGAACAGAATCCAGAGCCTGGCTCACAGGGAGAGCCTGAGGGAGCTTGGTACCCTTCCATCTCACCAGGACCCACACCACCCCACTCCTCTGGCAAATCACATGATAAGGCAGTGCCACATATTCATCTTCTAGTTACTCATCTGAGACTTAGAAAAAGGTTTCCAGTGAAGAGTGATACACGAAAATGAAAAGGCATCCTCACCACTCTGAGATGGCAAGAACTAAAACATACTCACAATTCTGCCAGTGTCTTCAATAAAATCTTGTTCTGACTGTCTTTCTTCAGGTGGTCTCGAACTGCTTGAACTATCACTGAATTGTTATACAGATCTCCAGGCCACTCTCTGATCAATGTGGCAAAGCCCTAACCAAAGGAGAAGAGCAGAAAAAAACACTGCATAGTGTGCTAGTGTGATTGCATTTGGGTTTTAATTCAGTCTCTTGCTCTTTACCCCTTCCCCAAGTGTACACTACTGGACTTAGGGTTCTTTTATTTGTTTTTGTCTTTTGAAACCTGATCTTTAGTGTTCTGTTAGCAGCCCAGATTTTTCACAGATATAATTTTGGCCAACAGTTTCTGTGGAACACTGCTACTTGATGCGTTACTTGATCATTTAAAATGACACACTGGGAAAAATGGAAAATAATATTTAAGATCATTTATGTAACTTAATGACAATAACAATTGTTTCTAGCTTTTTCAGTAGTATTCATGATACAGACATGACAATAATGCAGGAGAAAATCTCCAAGCCTAAGTGTCAAGGCAGGTTGATTTCCTTCAGCCATGGTCAGATAGGACATAAATTAGTAGAGTAATTTTGATGACATAATTTAAATAACTTTTGCATCAAATCCATGTAACATCAATGTGAAAGGATGAAAAAGTCATATTTCTAGACTTTGCAACATACACAGAGAACAAACCATGATCATGTGAGAATTTCTTACCTCATAATCACTTTCCAAAAATTCGTGTAAGATCATTTCATAGATGAGGGGTTTCAGGACTGGATCCCCTCTTGGTAAATAAGGACTGATTGCCTAGGAAGGGAGGGACAGGGTCCTTTCAGGAGTGGTATGACAGCTGCATCCCGAATGGGCAGACAACATAAAAGTATAGTTTTAACCTTAAAAATTTAAGGTATCAGGATATAATGGAACATCCAGAAAAGATTCAAATAAACTCTATTACCTAACAGAAAGCTACAATATTCTAAAGAGAGTGGTGTGTGTGTCTTTGTATGTGTGTCTTTATGTGTATGTCTGTCTGTATGTGTATGTGTTTTTGTGTATGTGCAACAAAAGTACAAAAGTGATCTCATTAACCTTCATTCTTTTTTTTTCCTGATTAATTAATGAATATCTAAATAACAGTTATTTTATATTTCCTTTTAACTTTCCTTATATTAGAAGTAATATATCAATTAATCCTTTAAAAATTCAATCATATTATGAAGCAAACTTGCCACAATGTATTAAAATGCTACAACGAATCCCATTTCTTTATAAGCCAACTTTAAACAATAATATTAATTTAACAGTATAGTCTTAATTTCAGTAGGGTATTCAAAAGGCTCGCAGATGATGAAAATCCCTTTAAAGAAATATAAAACTGACTGGTATATATGTTGTGGCCCCACTGAAAAGATTAAAATAAAGTGGTAAAATTTCTCATCAGAGCTACAGTCAAATATTTTCATCTGTCCTCCTGCACGTGACAGATTACCCATGCACCGAGAGTGACCTAAGTGTAACAGCACTCGTCTGTTATTTTTGAAGCCCCTGGTTCCAGATGAACACAACAAAAGTAAAAATAAAAATAAAGAATAAATTAATTCTTGAGTAAATTTAAAAAGTGTTACACTGTAAAATCTATTAGATAGAATTACAACTATTCCCAAGTCACTAAAAGGAAGATGAACACGCCTATACATAACACCTGAACCACACAAGAAACATGGCAGATATGTATCCGTTTGATACAAACAAAATATAACATTTAATTCTTCTTTCAAGAAAATACATACTTACCAACCAATAATTGATTTGTCTATTTTAATAAACTATAATGCAAAAATTAAGGGTTAAGTTAAAATCGCTTACTTTGAGCTGTCCAATTTCTTTAAATTTGTAAACTTCATATTCCCAGAGGGCTGCATTTTTCCCAAGAATTTTCTGGCATTTTCTGGCAGCAAGAACATCCCAGGAAAAAATAAAATGTAATAAAAATAAAGAGTGTAAGTACACATTTCCCCAGTGGTTTAGGTAAAGCTTTCCCCAGAGCTTTGATGTGGTTCCATTGTCAATGAACATGGTGTCACCACTTCTCATCTGACTGTATATGGAGTTAATGGAAATCATGAAAACTATAACAAATACTACAGAAAAATGTAGATCTTTCAGAAGACTAGGAGTTCCCCCAACTTTGCTATTTATTCAGAAAGTACTACTAGCTTGGGCTTTCTAAAGGAAAACTCACCATATCCCAAATGCCAACGCCTTCCTACTCAGCTTTAAACAAGGAGGTGAAAAACAGACTTCGGAAAATCAGATTCCCAGCCTACCACATAATTTACAGGGCTGAGTTTCAATCTCAGGGCAATAAGGGCAGGGCTGAAGGCAATCTCACAAGCTTTATCATTTCCATTTAGCTATCACACTTTTGTGAAGAGCCATTATCCTTGGGATATATGCAGAAGTACTTGTTTTAGATGTCTTCCAAAGGCATATGTAACACAATTGGCCCTAGAAACTGGAGGGCTCACAAAGTGAAAGCTGTGGACAAGTCTGCTTACTCTCTACATAGTGATGGAAAAGACATTCTCGTTCAGAGAGGCCAATAAGCAGTCTGCCTGCCCAATGTGTGCTGTGCTGTGGAAAGTAGGACTGGGGTTATGCGGTACAGGCTGACACTACACTCCTGCTAATCTGGACAGTCCTTTAATTCTGTGCAGAAGGCTCATGTCTTACAACAGACCTTTTCAATTAGAAAGAATAACTTATATTTGTTGTTACCAGCCCTAAATAACTGTGAGGATGTTGTTATTACCGTGCAGCCATGTCATATTCTCCTCTTTCCACCAGGTGGTTTACATATGCCAACCCAATATCCTACAGAATGGCAAATGAAGTAAATTAGTAAGGCAAATAAAACAACCCAAGAGTTGTGTGTCAGTTTCTGAGCAGACAGGACTTGGGGATCATGTGAGAACTACAGCCCAAACTTCTTTGTGTCATAGCTTGGGTAATATTACATTTCAGCACACTTATATTTAATGCACTTATATTTGTTTTATATAAATTTTAATATTCAAAGTTTTAACATTTGAACCTGGCTTTCATGTGAAAATCTTCTAACTTATTACCCTTAGATATGCTCTACAGAGGAAGTCTCTGATACTAGAAACAGCCTAAAGTTATCACGGGATAGAAAGGTGTGTGTTTTCCAATGTCTTCTGATAAATGTGACCTCTTCCACAGAAGTCTAAGGCATGCAAGAAAAATGAAGTGGCAGGTTGTCATACTAAAGGGGACATGGAAGCAGACGGCTAAAATCAAGGGCCATTTGGGTGGTAGTAACGGAAACCTAATACAGTAGAAGTTTCCTAACATTATACATATATAAAGGGGATACAAAATTTCAAATAATAGGGGAGACTGAGCCCCAACTGAACATCTCTCATTATCAAATTAAGTTTTTAGTACCAGGAGTGGGTTATATCTAATTGAGTTTGCAGCCAAAAAGGTTCTTATGGGAACTCCAAATAATTCAGACTGTTTCCAAGCTGTTCTCCACAAACTAGCTGAAGCCAACACCTATACAGCTCATTGAACATGGAGAAATAGAGATGGTGTTCACATAAAGCCATGACCCATACTAGATAGTGTTCTTGGTATCAGAAAGTACTCTGCACATTATCAAAGGGAAAAAAATAAACCCCAAACCAGCTACAAACCCTTCAATCTACAGTGGTCCTGCCTGAAAGATGTGTTAGGACAGTGATGGCACAAAGCTTGTGAGAGTAACCGACCGATATCTGATTTGAATTAAGGTCCACTCATGAGATGAAACCCACACTTGATACTGCTCAATTGACCAACAACCTAAGACTAGATAGTCCAGCGACTTTAGTAGAGGTCAGAGAACATTTTGTGCAAGTTGGTTCTTTCCTTCTACCATGTGGGTACCAGAGATTGGACTTAGGTCTTTAACCTTGGTGACAAGCACCCTAAACCATCTCAGAGGCCCTTTCACCAGGGGAGCCAAAGCCCCTAATGCTCAGGTCACTCATTCTGTACACTTCCTCCTCCTCTGTACTATGAATGCCAACTCTATTCATTCTTCCCCCACCACCTCCCCAGCACAAACATTTTTAAGTGTCTATCTTGCTGGGCATTGGTAGTGCATGACCTTAAAACTGTACTGGAAAGGCAGAAGCAGGCTTATCTCTATAAGTTTGAAGCCAGCCTGATCTAAAGAATGAGTTCCAAGGCAGACAGGGCTACACAGAGAACCTGTGTCTGAAAACAAAAACAAAAACAAACAAACAAACAAAACAGCCATAAAAATAAAACATCTCTGTCATGAATGCTACAAGCATCATCTGATGCTGGAGCACACTGTGTGTTTTCCATCCTCCATTCAGTCTTAGCTCAACTCCGTCTTACAGCTGCCTGCTCACTTTTACTCCCTACACCACAATGAGAATAAATAACATAAACACTAATTCTTTCATAGTACAAAATTCAAGATATTATCACCAGCTGAGCTGGCCTTTTGACCTGCTCGGTCTACTACATAAGCATTTCACTCCCTTCTTTGGAATGTACTTCTCTCTCAGCTCCCAGCACACAGTGCCTGCTGCTTCATCTCAGTTTGTCTTATATACATTAGTCCTTAAATGACAGCATTCCTGATTCTCTGTTCTCCAACACCACACACCTGCCATGGACAGCTCCGTCCAAACTCATGGGACGACTGATGCATTTGCTGCTAACAGCACTCCACCAGCATGACTCCACTTACACAGTCCTGTACAGACCTCATCTTGCTACACAAACTACACCAGGACTCTGAAGTAATCCTCTTCCCAGCTGGCCTCTCTCTCTGATCCTTTCTGCATTAGTCTGTCATGACAGACTAATCTCCTGGTTAGTAATATGAGATTAAATTTTCTTCTGCATACTCCAAAAACAAAACCAAGTTTTTTCTTTCTTTTTTGTTTTGTTTGTTTGTTTTTGTTTTTCAAGACAGGGTTTCTCTGTATTGCTTTGGAGCCTGTCCTAGAACTAGCTCTGTAGACCAGGCTGGCCTCGAACTCACAGAGATCCACCTGCCTCTGCTTTCCCAGTGCTGGGATGAAAGGCATGAGCCACCAATGCCCAGCCAGAACCACGTTTTAAGTAGTGTGTCCCTTTAGAATAAACTCTTCAGTTTTAAGAATTAATATTCTCCTCAACTGTACCTAAAAATTAAATATCTCTAGCTTTTTTCTCTTCGCCTTATTTGTTTATTGTTTCTCTTATGTGTTCCTTAGGGATTAATGCCTTGAATATGTAGTTTTACAGAGAATTTTAGGATAAACAAAATCATACAAGAAATTTGTACTGAAACCCAACTAGCCATAAAAAGCTAAATTTCTAGTATTCATTTGTCAAGAAAGAGTAATAGACTCGATGTTATAAGGACAGGACTCTTCATATGTAGAGGATATGATTTCATGTCAGGCCTCTGCCTGCAAAATTCACTGTCACACTTAGCAGAGAAATAGGTTTCTAGACATTGTACTTTTCTGAGTCCAAAATGTAATAAGATTGTATTTGATTTCCTAGAATAGTCTCCATAACAAAAGCAATTGAATTTGTTATCAAGGCCACACCAAAGCAATCTAGTTTGAAGAGACCAGTCTTGATACATTTTGTGATAATATGATTTTACACATGATTTAAAGAGGCTTCCATACATTCAACTGGAGAGTTTTGTACTGAAAGTGCATTGCCCAAATGCAGTTTCAAAATTTCCTAAAGCTACATCCTAGCAGGTGTTGAAGTATCTTGTTTACAAGCAGAAACTGACTCAATTGAATGCTCTCCTAGGTAAAAGAATTAATTGAAACAAATTATGAACAAATACAAAGAACCTGATCTTGTTCTTTTCAAATCAGTTTCTTAAACATTAGTAAGAACAGTCAGGTTTCAAATTAATGATGCTGCACTTACCAGAATCTTATGTCTTTTAATGTTCCTTTGGCTAATTTCAGCTGCCATCAGAGCTTCCTATGATTACACAAGCATTGTGATAAGGGCCATAGGGGAAAACAAGGAGAAAAAAATGGGGGTGAATGTGAGAGAAAGCAAGTGCAGTTATAAACTATATTATGTTTTGACTTCTGAACCACTCAAATAGAACCTCATTTTCTTGTAACCATTGCTTAAGGTACTTGGATTTTTAATATTAAGGTTGAATGAACTTCATGGAATTCAACCTAAAGATATTCAACCAAAATGAACATTTTTTTTCATTTTCACTTGAATTCACTCCTGTATTAATATCCTGGAATCACATTTCATAAACAAATCAAAGTAACAAAATCTCTTAGAACTCAAGCACAAAAGGATATTTGTCATCCTAACTCTGAAGACGGTGAAAGACAAAGGGCACTTTTCATTTATGTTTCAATAAAGGCTAACAACATACATATGTCTTAATGTCTACAATTAAGCTTATAGAAATCACATTATGTTTATATTTCCAAACACTAGTATCAGTTTAACATAAATATTTAACATATAAACTAATTACATAAAATGATAGTCTAGGGGCTGGAGAGATGGCTCAGCAGTTAAGAGTGCATGCTTTACAATCACGAGGAGCTGAGTTAAGATCCCAACACCCAGTAACAAATCAGTGTCTCTCCAAATGCCTATAATCCCAGCTCTGTGAGTAGTGATACAGGAGAGCTAGACTTGCTGGCTTTCAGCCTAGCAGAGAAAACTTGACCACTGGATTTAGCAAAAGCAGTGCCTCGAGAAAAGAATCGGCAGAGAGTGGTAGAGGGCAGACCATACCATCTTTTGGCCTCTATACATATAAAAAATATAAACACCTATACATACATATGCATACATCCATACAGATATACACACATCTACAAGTAAGGAACTAAGTAAATAAATATAAGAAACACTAAAATATTACTTAATCCAACACAATATGGTAACAGCTGTATTATATATGAGGTATTAATAACAACTGGTCTCCACTTTACAAATTAGTCCTTTCACATAAACTGGATACTGTTGCTTTCTGCTGATAGGCACACAAAAGCATCCAGAGTCATTCTAAGAAAGGAAATATCTTGATAGCTATTACAGTTGTATAAAATGTTGTTCTAATACTAAAATCATTCATGTTGGTACATTGTCTACTTAATCTTGTTGAAACCATGGCTAAATAAAGTAGGCAGCATCATTCCACCCAAATTAGTTCAAACCATTGTAAGTAAGAATAAATCTGGTATCTTTCCTTATACACAAAATAAGGGTAAAATAATCAATTTTATTAACATATTCAAAGAAAAAACTCTGAAAAGTTTATTCTATTTTAATGACTTCAGGAAAAATATCACAAAAGCTTTAATACATTAGTTCTGTTTGACTCCCCCTTCTCTGAACCAATTATGCTTCCCCAACCCACACCTTAACAGAAAAGCCGGCCAAACAGACTGCATGCTTTTTGTTCTCTCATTTCTGAGAGAAAAAGAGAATGTAACATATTTTTGGTTTTGGAGCACACTAACTCAATATGAAAGATTTACTATAAGAATCTTTTCTCTTTCTATGTTCAAACAAGTCAATACTTTCGAGAAAGTAAAATCAAAACTACTTCATATTTCTTCTTCTCAAGGAGCCAGTCGATATGATCATCCTGGTCTCGTTCCTTGGCTATGACGACGTCTCTTGGACTCACAATATAGAAAAGTGATTCCCCTTCAGAGTATTCTAGAAGGAAGGAGAGAGAGGACAGTTTGGGTAACTCTATATTACAAAGTGGCAATAGTTTCAGGGGATGTAATTAGCCTATGATTTCAGACTCAGGAGTCAATTATCTTATCTACCTCTGCAGCCAAGTGTGCTTGACTCTCTGGAAAGTCAAGGACTGTGAGAATGGTGTATGTAATGCTCTTGAATGCAGCACAGTATAAAACTATTCAAAAAAAGGAGGGAGAAAGATCTAGAAGAAAAGACTATAAACAAACTAACCAACACAAATAAGACAGGTTTAAAATTCTAAGTTTAACACTTTTACATTGCTGTTGTACTGTTATAGAACAATTACATCCAAGTCAATGATAAATATTTCCTCCTCACTAGACAAGGCCATCTAATGAATAAGTGACAGAGGCCGAAGCCCTGGAGACGTAATCTATCATTTTAGCATGATATTTACAATACCAATCCTGAGTGTTTCCTGCAGATTTCAATTATAAATCCTGCTCTGGGGGTTTCTAAATATACAAGTAAGTTTGCTCTGAGAAAATACCAGACTGTATGCTTTCAGTTCTGAATCATAGTTGTTTTTCACAAAGTCCAAATATACTCTTACAGTTTTTACTAATTTCTAGAGGGTTCATAAAAGAAGAGTCAGGTGCATGTACACCTTTGCATCCTTTACTTGTCCAAATGAAAAGTAAAACTATCATCATAAGATGTCTGTTGTTTATAAAGCAAGAAAGAGTTTCTAAAGAGCTTACATGTTCCCTTTTCTTTAACATGTTTTACAAGGATATGATGACAGACTTCCCAGGCAGGACTAAAGAGCCACAGTTCTCCTTTTGCTCCTAAACAGTGAGTGAATAAGTGTATTTATTATCCACATCCACCCACCCACTCTGCAAATACTCCATAGTCCCAGGTGATGAGGTGGGAATCTTTCCATCACTTAGTAATCAGTTCCAAACACAAGGACTTTGCTGCCACCCACAGAAAACCTTACAGGAACATCAAATTTGGTCTGAGAGGACAACTACAGAGTCATGCTACTTGATATCAAGTTAAATGTGACCTACACGGGGCAGGGCAGGGATGTGCTGAGTAAAAACTGTTTGCCTAGCACGATTAAAGCCAACGGTTTGATTCCACAGAAAACATAGGTAACTGTCCATAAATAAATAAACACAGCAAAAAAAAAAAAAAAAAAAAAAAAAAAAAAAGAACTGGCTTTGACCTTGGTTCCTGTCTAACATTCCTTTTTTTCCCTATGTGCATTCAGGCCAGATATATTTCTGGGTCTAGAACTCCAGCTTTTACTGGCAGAAGCCAGCCCACATAATCTCTAAGGTCTGGTCAGCATTTGCATCTATATTTAAATTCCCATGGGTAAGCAGAACAGAAGGGCAACAGAATAAGTATAAGAAAGAACATGAGCAGATCTCTGCTGTCTCACCTAAATGATAATCTCTACATTCGTTCTCCTGAAAGCCTCTGACTGTCAGAGCATCAGATGATATCTCTTCACAAGTCTCAGGAAGTGGCTGGATGATGTCCAGTCTAGGCCTGGCACAGTATTCTCTTTCCTAGGGGGAAAATGATAGAGAACATTCATTTTACTAATGTTTCTGTAGATTACACAAATGAATAAGCTATCCGTACTTGCTTTGAATTTATCATTTCAATACAAACAAGTCCTTCTAAATACTAGCCACAAGCAGCCACCTAATCTTCTCTTATTTTTTGATTTTTGTTTTTTTACATAATATCCAGAAATATGACATTTATGAAGTGCACTGTCACAGAACCCAGTCCAAAAGCAGTGAAGGCCGGTGAGAATCTGCATCACTTGATAGCATTTAGAATCACCACGGAAGCACATTTGTGGGTATGTGTATGAAAATGTGTCCAAATGTATTAAAGTGCGCAAGGAAGAGTTCCCTACTCCAGTGTGAGCTGCACCATCCCATATTGTGGGTCCTGGGATAAAAGGAGAAGGCAAATCAAGCATCAGCATCATCTCTCTCTCTGCTTCTGGACTGTGGGTGTGATGTGGTCAGCTGCTGCCAGGGGTCCCCCTCCAAAACAAGCTGTACTGCCAGAATGTGAGACTCCATAAACCCCTCCTTCCTTAAGTTGCTTTTTTGCCTGATATTTCACCATATCAGTGAGAAAAGTAATGAATCTATGGCCTAACACCAACAAACATAACTTCATTACAGCTCGTCTACACAAATATGAAGGAAGGCAAAACAGTATGACTTCATGATTCAAATCATTGCTAATATGAGGGAACTTACTTTTAGTGCCAAAAGTCATAGATTAAAATCCATCTCTAAACCAGGTCTTGCTGAGCCAGTGGAATTGCCTGCCTTTACATCACCATGTATGGAAGACCGTAGTCACAGATGGCTGCTGAACACAGGCAATCTGGCTAATGTGATCAGGGAACTAAATTTTTTTATTTTGTTTGACTGTAATTAGCTTAAGCTTAAGCAGTATAAATAGCCAGTGACTATAGTTTCTGAAAGTGAAGCTCTAGGTCATGGCAGAGTGAAAGGTGAGCTGACATTTCTGAGGAACGAGTGTGATAAAACACAGACCACTACTGGGTTCTCAATTGAAACCTGGAAAGTGATCAAGCATTATTATTCTCAATCATATAGACTGATGAGTTAAAAAAAAATTAAGATTAAAATTAAAGAAGTCGATGGTAAGGCTGGGATGTCTGGAAAAACTGAGACTTATGGTCAACACTGGACTTTGGATCAAAGGGGTTCTGCTTTAGTTTTTTGTGCTTTTGAGACATGGGCATTGCAGGCATGAAACCCACCTGCCATCAACCTGCAATGGAGCAACAGAGAACACACTCAGACTCTGGTATGGAGTGGGAAGGTGAGAGGAACAAAGCAGAAAATAATGAAACCCAAAAGCTGTCTTTCACATAAAACAGTGGAACATGGATTTCTGAGGACTTTTGTACTCAGGAGCCATTATAGCAGCTTTGTAGCTCATGATGGGGCTACAGCTACTGGCAATCCATTGCAACAAGAAAACACGAGGAATATACACCATGATTTATCAGATCTAGGAAAATAAATGGAAGATAAAGAAATCTCCACTTTTAACCAAAAGGGGGGGGTGTTGAAATACAAGAATATTTTTAAATAGCTGCAATGAAAATGATTTTTAAAACAAAATCATGACAAATTGGGAAACACTTGAACATTCCTAGATCATACATGAAGCTTTGAGGGCTAGGAATGTAGCTCAGTGATGGGGCACCTGCTAAGTATATGGGGTTTATCCTTAGCACTGGATTAGGAAAGAAGGAAATTTCTTTTATATGTGTTGAGAGGTATGTACCAATGTGATCCCTGTCATGTTACAGTCCTTGCTCCAGGTTCCCATGATCCACAGTCTTGTCTATGAGTTTCTCAAGAGCAACAATTTATCACCATCCCCTAGTACTTTGGAAAAATTCAATTCTTAAAACAGACTTTATCTATGAAGGAGAGAAAAGTAAAGGATAGAGGGACAGCTTTCTGAACTATAGGATACATTAACGTGACAGAAGAGTACACAGCTACTAACCATGCTCACAGTGGAAGCCATGCCCACATGAAGAGAGTGAAATAATGTATAGAATAGAGGTACACAAAGGAACCGTAACTGCCTCAGAGCAGAGACATGTGTACCTATCTATGAAAGGCATCACACGGGAAACGCTTGAGGGTATTAATGAAAAGCCAAAGGAAACAGCCAATGAAAACCTAATAGAAACAGATTTTCAGTATGAGAAAAGGAATTGGGTACTGGTATGCCCCAAGCCGACCGTCATTCTTTTGCCCTAATTTTACTCACTTACTCACTTACTACGTATTTAAGAACTGAGAGCACACACTGATGTTAATAAAGTGAATCCCCACACAGCAGTACACTGCTGTCTCCTAAACTCTTCTTTCCCCCGAAAGCCACCCCTTCTCTGATCTGCCCTGTGAGGACCGCCTTCCTTTGGTTTTCTCCTTTCCTATACTCTTTATTAACACAGGTTTCCCTTTTTCTTTTCCCCTTTTATGTTTTTTTTTTTTTTTTTGATCAGTTTATTAGCTTTTCCCTTTTCCAATTTTATTGCTTCTTCCCTTGTTTCGTTCAATCACATCCTCAATCTGCCCCACATTCCTCATCAAAAAGCACTGTTCTTAGTCCCCAAGGAGTCTCTGCTTTTCTGTATTTTCAAAAAAATAAATAAATAAAATAATAATAAACTGATGCCCTGCAATAGGGCTAGAAGCCAACCCTATTGATTTTAGGAGGTTTGAGGGTTCACTTAAGTCTACAGCATTTCATTGCCTAGCAACATAGGCACCCAGAGCTTCAGTTACTATAGTGATGGCTTCCTAATGCAAGTGTTCTCTCGGAGAAAGGCTCAAGTGCAGCCACCACTTCACAACAAGGGCTCCCTGGGCTTTTCTTCCCCAGTTTATTCCTTGCCATTTGAGGAGAGAGAGAGAGAGGGAGGAGAGAGAGAGAGAGAGAGAGAGAGAGAGAGAGAGAGAGAGAGAGAGAGAGAGAGGAGAGAGAGAGAGAGAGAGAGAGAGAGAGAGAGAGAGAGAGAGAGAGAGAGAGAAGGAGGAGGATACAAACAGGGAAAGTACACTCCACCTGTCTGCTTACTGTGAAGGGCTAGAGAATCAATTGCAATTTCTTTTATATACAGCACCCAAAAGGAAATCCTTTACAACCAACAAGCTCTCCTTGCTCAGGCCTTGAAGCTGCCCCTCTCCCATTCCAGGCAGGGCCCTGAACTCTAACAATAGGCAGCCTAGGAGCACTGCTCTGGGCTTTAGAGGAAGCCTGCGTGTCATTAAATCCCAGTTGAGAGCTTCATTCCAATGTCATGAAAACAAAATCTGGTTTTATCTGTTGTTTTCTGTTTACAACACATTTCAGTGTCTATAATCTGCACTGACAAGTGAGTGAGCAACAATCCCAGGAATCGAGCTACTTAGAATCATCAGGCCACTGGGAGGTAAACAAATATGTTTGGACTCTAGAAAAGAAGGAGCTGCCCTTTCAGTAATTCCTTCTGACCACTGGGATCCCTGTTGTTGCAGTGACCAGCTTCATTGCTGTCATCTCTGCTAATGCAATGTCACCTTAGTTTCTTTGTCTTTCAGCATGAGGGATCCTTTATTTCTTTCAAATAAAATATCAAGTGACTGGTGAGAGAGAAAAAAAGAAGAAAAAAAAGAAAAAAGGTCTCGCTTCTTTGTGCAGCAAAGGGAACAAAGGCAAGCAATAAGTGTGACTTCTGAAGGTAAATATGTTTGTCTGCAGGGTAATTTCTGCTAGGCTTATTTCATAGGTCAAAAAGTTCTGGTTGGATTATAGCAATCTCCTCTGACAGGCAGCCTGACCTGGGTGTGATGCTAAAAGCCAACTCCTCTATATCCCTCTGTACATGGGGAGAAGATAATTACCGTTTTTTCTGAAACCTCCTTTACGTAGGAAAGCACAACAAGCTGATCACAGAGAGGTGCAAGTCCACTAATGTAGAATTCAGTTTCAAACTGAGACACTGCAAACAAAAGGCAGAAAGGATTCACCATTAAATGGAGCAAAAAAGGTACACATGATGGCAAAGACACACCAACTGTGAATGCTACAACACATTTAAAGATGTTTAAAATGGAAATAAACGCCCAATCCCCTGATGTGATTATTACACCTTGTGTGTGCGTTGAATTACGATACTATACTAAATATGTGCCGTAGTGTGTCTCAAGTTAAAGTACATCCACCACACAGCACTAAAAGTGCTTTACAATGATCCATGCAAGGAAAGACATGCAGCATGTAAGTCTGAAAGTTAACATCACAGACAAAAAAGAACCCCAAGTGTGTGTCCACCACTGTGCCAGGTAACTTAATGATGTCGGTACATCATATGAAAACTCTTTGAAACAATGAAACCCAACATCAACTCCCTTTAATAACAGAACAATAATAAAACTATCCTTTATAACAACATTAATTTTAACAAGTGGCTAAGATTAATTTTTTCTTTCTTAGACGTGGAGGTCAGTGGTGCAAACAACACAGGTTTTGCTTTGGTTAATAGAAAACACTACTTTGTTTTTCGGCTTTAGACATTTTATTTAAACATCTTTACATATTACTTTTGTAACTTATACAGTGAAAAATAATAAACTTGCAAAGTAGTGTACTTAAAATTTAAGAAGAAATGTTGTTAAGAAGTATTAATGTACTTTAAAAAGTATAAAAGTTAAGAAGCATGCACACTAAGGAGATGGTTCATTGTGTAAGAATGGACTCTGCAAACATGAGGACTGGAGTCTGAATCCCCAGCAGCCACATTAAAAGTCAGGCATGGACACTGCGTACAGTGTCCAAAGCTCACTGGCCAATCAGCTTAACTGAAATGGCAGCTTCTGGTTCTTTAGAGACCCTGTCTCTAGGCAAGATGGCAGTGACAGAGGAAGCCACCCTCTTCTGGTTCCCCAGGTTCCAACACAGGTGAATACTCTCACACAATCAAAGGCAACCACCACATACACACAAAGTAGAGCCCGGCCTGGTGGTGGAGCTCTCCATTTCCAACTCTCCACAGGCTGAAGAAAGAAGACCACAAGTTCCAAGACTGTTATGGTTATAACATGTATTCAAGGCCAGTCTGGGGATCTTAGAGTTTGTTTCAAGGTAAAACATAAGGAGAGGGCTCAGGACACAGGTCAGTGGTAGACTGCTTGTTCAACATGCACGAGGGACTGTGTCTAATCCCCAGTATTGGGAGGGAGGGTATGTGTACTTATTCCATGTGGGAAATACAAATGCTCCTATGGTGTGAGTCTAATGACTCCATGATGCAAACAAGAAATCACAGAATTTAAAAAAGAGCTGTGGTGGAGCTCACTTATGAGCAAACTCTGACTTGGACTTATCCCATTATCCCAGAGTTTCTTAATTCAGATTGTCTCCAATGTTCTGGCTATTAGCTGCAATTCCAGTTGACATCTATGATGAACATACTTTCTTTTTTCTGAGTTGGGAGAACTTGGTCTGTCATTCTGAAAGCAATACTGAATGTCTGTGTACTCTGGAAATCTGGGTCATAACTCTGCTGAACTGGACTCCAAGTTACTTTGGCCAATGTGTGAACTTCTCTCACTTGAGAAGAAGAAATAACAGATAAAACCTAAAGTACAGATGGAATGAGAGGCAAAAGAACTTTTCTTCCTCCTTTCTCTTTCCTTGTTCACCAGAGTTCCTTGATTTTCTAGTCCTTGTTTATCTTTATAACCATCTTCATAATCTAAATTCTATACTAAAACAGCTAAAAATTACTAACATAAACTTTAAAATAGGCAAGATTTGGAGACAGGTTCTTCTATTGCCTAGGTTGGCTTTGAATTTGCTACATAGCTGACAATGATTTGCATTCTGCTCTTACTGCCGGCCGGCACCTCCTAAATGCTGAGTCTCAGGTGTGCCACCATTCCCAGCTGCGGTGGATAGTAGTCCTTATGCCTTGTCACTGACTGGATGATAGACTGGATGGGGCGTCCTCATACAAGTACAATGGTGGGTGCTTAGGACTTAGCCCTGCCACTAACATTTTCTTTCACTTTTGTAAGCTTGAGCTGAATGTCATGAAAACAGTTTTGATAACAAGGTGACATGGGAAATAGTCACAAATAAGCTTATTTAAGAGCCATGCCCATCTCAGTCATGGCTTGGAGAAGCGACTGCCCAGTGTAGACAGGTAGACAGGGTGGGGTTTCTGAAGATGCTTGAAGTGCAGTGTGTTTGTGTTGGGTGGGGGGGGGATGAAAGAAGGCTGTGTGCTGATGGTGTTGGACTGGATGGGTCAATACTGAGATCATTTATGAAGAAGATGGCAAATCTCATCCACCTAGACATAAGCAAATTAACAATAGAGTTTGGTGGCCATTATTCTAACTATTCTGGCATAAATGGAGTTGAGTTTTTGTCTTACTGAATCATATTTCATCGCTGAAATGCAACTATACAGTTTCCTTGCGAACAGTTTGCACAAAGAACAATAACCAAGAAATGCCACAGAAACCCTTTTCATGAGGGCCAGGTGGAGGCCTATTATGCTTGTGTGCTAAATGTACCCAAGGGAAAACAGCAGCTAAGCACAAAGAAGTGGTGGATAATGAGGCATGAGGTACTACTGTCCCTTTGGAGATCACATGGCTTGCCCAGACTCACTGAAAGGTAGTATGAGGCAATGTCTTCAAATGGTACCTAAATTTACAACAAGGCCTGTTTGTTTAAAAAATGACTTATTGATACATTCAAGAATTTAGGACACCACCCAATGCAAATCTTCACTCCACATCCTGATTTTCTTAGTCTACAATGCTTACATAAATAACATGGAGATTTCATGATCTTTAAGAACATAGGCAGAAACAATAATATGTTCTTGAGAAACAAGAGAAGATTGTAGAAGTGCATCTGAGTTTCAGGTAGGAAATGTGTAGTTACAGACACTAAACTATCAGAAGACCAACTGTGTATTGATCACTTTGATAGAATAATAAGGAAGAAATACTTCCTACTAAAACTAATAGTCAAGACTTTAGAAATGCAGGAGTTATCAACATCTAGATAAAACAAAAACATTCTTTGTGTTGAGTCATTCCCTTACACCACCCACACCCTTCTTAAAGAGACAAAATGCAATGCTACTGTAACATCCAGTGAATCTTCTCCCTTAATACCCATGAATAGAGATATGTCAAAAATAAAGAATAAAAAGCCCTCACTCCTAATCAGAGTTGTTAGTGTGTGAAGCCTGCAGCTACTGTGCCTTAAAACACAGAAAGATCCTTGCTTTTCTTTTGTTCTCCTTAAGGAAACAAAAAAAGAGTGTTTTCAGATCTAAAAAAATACTATTTGTTTTTCATATTAATACTTAGATAAAGAAGGGATGGCTAGAAACCATGGCACCAGAATACATGTATGTACAAGGAATAAAAATTATTTCTACTGATGTAATTAAATAAATGTTACATTACTGTATTTATTCTTTAAAGTAAAATACATAAAATAAAACATTTATGGACTAGCTTTGTAAAATATAACAATTATTGGCTTTACATTCAAAATAACAGTGGCCAATGCAGTTTTCTTTTCCTGATGTTCCATTCCATATTACAGAACAATGATTTTAATAATTCAATAAGTCTTGTCTTCTCCTAAGGGAAAACAAGTTTGAAACAGGGACAGAAGCTCACATTTAAATGGATTTTTGGGAAACGATAAATCTCAAAGAAATAAAAACAAATTGTTGGGTTACAGAGTGCACAAAACAGAAACCAAAGGCTGGTAAGTGAAGGCTGAAAGAAAACTAGTTCCTAGGAGTCACAGAAGACAGAACCTACACTGGAGATCAAGGGCATCTAGAAAGTGAAGAGAAGGTTCTGGGGCCCTGAGGCAAGGTGCTGTGTTTCCACAGACAGTGTTTTACTGAAGAACACCAGCTCTGGTGGGAACTGCAGCTGTGGCATGGCCTTCTCATCCTGACACAGTCTCAAAGGCTTCCACACTCTAGTGTCCTAAGGAAGCAGTGTCTGTAGACATCCTGTAAGAATACGTGTACTGAAACCCACCGAAGGTCAGCAAATGGACTAAAGTGTCTTCAGAAAAAAGCAATTCCTTCCTTTTCCAAGACAGATGGATGGCACATTGAACAATGCAAGTGGGAACACAGAGAACCATAGGTTACATGTCTATTATACCACCTAGAACAACAGTTGAAGACTTGAAATTTTGTGATCAGAGTGCCCTGCCCTTCTTTAGAATTTTCTGTGCTGCTTTAAAGGCAAACACCATGCAGGGCACAGAAGCTGCACTGGTCCCTCTTTATCCCTTTGCCCTCCACAAATGCCAATCTACAAGGAAGAGCGGTTATCTGCAACTTCTCACATTCCATTCTAGACCCTTTCAGGTGGTCTTGTGGCAAGACTCCTTCCCTTGGCCCACAGACAAAAGCAGGAACAATCATGCACAGAGAGTTTTCAGTAAGTCTGGATACTTGGTTGGCATGCCAACTGCCATTAAAAATACTTTTGGAATCAACATCTCAATAGCCTCAGGAATTGCTCTAAAGAAGATACGGTAAAAAGTGATATGATCCTTCACACCAGCAAATATAGACCTGATAGACACATGGCTGTGACATGGGGATACAGAAGGCCAAGGAGGCAGTGCTGGAAGCTCTGCTTGTCCATATTATCTTCCTTATGTTTTTGAGATGCTGCCTTACTTTGTAGCCAGGCAGACCCTGAGTTCAGTAGGGTAACTCAGGGGTGACCTCAAACTTGTGTCAATTCTCCTTTCTCAGACTCTAAGTGTTGGGATTACAGATGGAAGCCACATCTGGCTATAGAATGCTTGCGAACAAGAATGCCTGAGTTAAAGTGCTTTTGCTGAGGAAAAGTCTTGAGTATGTTACATGGGCCCCTCTGGTCAACACACATACATACCCCACCTGCAATAATATATTTTCTTTCATAACAATAGCCACTAGGCAGGTACAGTGTGTGTGTGTGTGTGTGTGTGTGTGTGTGTGTGTGTGTGTGTGTGTGTGTGTGTGTGCCTATGTGCGCAAAAGATGTCCAGTTTCTGCTGCATTGCTTTCTGCCTTATGCTACTGAGATAGAGTCTCTTAGTAAACCTAGAGTGAGGCTAGCAGCCAGCAAACATCAGACATCCTCCTGCTTCTATTCCTGATAGGATTGGGGCTGTGGCATGACATGGCCAAGACCATATTTCTACATGAGTTCTGGTGATGTCAACTCAGATCTTTCTGTTTGGACAGCAAGTATCTTGCCAACTTGGCTATTTTCCCAGCCTCACGCTTAAGGTTTCCTATGGTCCCACTATTAATAACAAATATCCAAGTTCATAGCACTGTATTAAGTCTATCCTATAAGACAAAGAATTAATAAAAAGACTATTCCCAACAGAGCAAATGCAGGCATATGTAACTGATATGGTGTTCACTGCAAAATGCTTTTTCATATTTAAATTCTTTTCATAATGAAGTACTGGGGAAAATCCAATGCAAGACAGGAAAGTTAACATTAAAACAGTAAGCTGAATAGAAAACTATTCAAAAGCCAGATCCTCAACTACAAACACCTGGTAAGATACTTCTACCTGACAAGGTCTCTACTGAAGACTAATTAGGAGGAGAAACTAAGTCACCTGTATGCAAAGGGAACTATCTCACTGCTGTAATCTAGACATAAAAATCAAAATGATGGCAAGCATATGAAGAGAGTTACCTAGATTGAAGAATTGTCCCACAGCTATTTGAACCACATAAGCAAAGCTTCCATTCCAGGTCACTGAGTTCTAAATGAATTACGATGCTGGAAACATGATGACATGTTAAGTTCTATGTTCGCAGTACATGACCAACTCTAGGCAATGGTGCTGTTTTATTAAAGGGACAATAATGTGGGTTCTCTTCTCTTTTTATCCTGGCTTCTTTGACAGTCTTGTAGCTCTTCATGTAGTTCTGTAGTTCAAGTGTCTTGTTAAACTTCCAAGTGCAATCAAGACAAGAAAGTCAGAGACTAATTTCATACATGTAAGCTGGCAGTAAACATCAGAAGATGATTAAAACCTCACCTATCAAAGAAGCATGAGCTCTCCAACTGCCACCCCATAAAGACTCTGAAGCACAAAATCGAGCCAAGTAAGTTTAAGTGAGCGGTGTAGGCACAGAACTTATCTTTCAGCAATGCAACCTGGAAGAGGCAAGGAAGTTCAAAAGCCCTCTGCACCTACAGAAGCTCTTCACGATAGTAACTGCGTAGAGGCCTTATTTCTTTAATCATTATTATTTTCCATTTATAAGAACACTGGAGAAGAAACTTTTGCTAGACTTTGTGATTCTGACTTATAAACAACTGGCTTCTGACAAATTCACTCTCATGGGTATTTTTAAATCTCAATGTCATTGTCATGCCATTGAAGGAGTGTGGCTCACTATTTGGGGATAAAGCAATGCTATATTTTAAAAATTGGTGGGAAGGGAAGTCACACCGCACAAAAGGGCTCACATGTGAGGTTTACTGGAAGAGGAGAGAGAAGGACCAGAGAAGGGTGCAGAGACGGGACTCAGAGACCGATCCCTGGGGACAACCGTGGCAGAAGAGGAAGAGAGAGACAGGAGGTGGGCAAGGCCCACCTTTTATTTGCAAAACAATTTAAATTTTTTTTTTTCATTTTACATACTAGCCCCAGTTTCCTTCCCTCCCCTTCTCCTGGTCCCTACCTTCCCCATCCCACCCCTACCCACTCCTCCAAGGGGGTAAGGCCTCCCTTGGGGACTCAACAAAGTATGGCATACCAAGCTTCTTCCCCCTGTATAAAGGCTGAGCAAGGTATCCCACCTTAGGGAACGAACTCTGAGTAGCTATCTTCCGCAGGCACTGGATCATCTAACACAGCATTGTGTTGTGCACACTATGATGTTTCAGGTCTTCAAGATGCAGAGTAAACAAAAATAGACCAATGTATGCTTGCATTGAAGTGACAGTTTGTGCTACTCAGAGATGTACCAATAATCAAGAACTCAGGACTGCTGCAGCCATATGTGTGGCCAGGTGCAAACAGAATCCATACCTGAATGAGAACACTTGGCCTGTTTGAATAAATGAGTAGATTTTCCCAGTAAAGCAATGCTTTAATCATATCTCATATGATTAAAAGTTGGTGAAGAGAAAAGAGGCAAGAAGAATGTTCTATTCAGAGGGGCCTGTGTATGAAAGTCTGTGTGGCTGTAGCACACAGACCACGAAGAAGCCTGGTGGGAACTGTAGCTGGACAGACAGGGATGAGAAACGCCTATCCCTGTAGTCTACTACTCTTTTTCCTCTGAAGAATGGGAAAAGACTGGAGGATAATTACATGATCTGGTCTGCACTTTTACTTGATGAAGAGACTGGATTAGAGTCACAGTGGAGCAGATAAAACTGAGAAGGCAGCTAGCTGTAGTGCTCCAAATGAAAGATGGTGGCAATTGGGGCCAGACCAGTCAACAAGACCAATGGTCAGCACTGTACTAGGTGCATTCAAACATTAACTCACACTCATCACACACCTTATAAAAACTTTCTTACATGTTACACATAAAACTGTTGAAACAGCAGAAATCTGTCTGAGGTCCTAGTGGCAAATATCACACCAGGATTATCTGACTTCAAAGGCAACTATAAAATTATAATGAGAATATAACTTTTTGTTTCTTTAGGAAAAAAAGGGGGGTAAGAGGAGCTTTCATGGTGAGGTTCCACAACCTGAAGGATTTTGGATCCATTTGATCAAAGTACCAAGAGATAAGCTCTGGTGGAGGGTGTGGCCTTGACTCCCACTTGACAGGTGTTCTTTGGAAGTTTTAGCATCACAGAAGACCTGGGAGAGGGGGGCATCCCATACCTATTTCAACATATCGACTTGGCAGATCCCTCATCTCACTGGCATGACGTTCCTTCACTGAACATATCTGGAAAAAAAATTCACAGGTTATTTTCTAGCTTTGATAAGAAATTCTTTACAGTATTTTATTCAGTGTGGTATTTTTTAAAGGTAATCATGTTACCCAAAGACAGAGCATATATAATCTACTCTGAGATATAAAAGTCAGAAATCAATTTGAGAGGCTGGAGAGATGGCTCAGCAGTTATGAGCACTGGCTGCTTTCAGAGAACCTGGCTTCAGTTCCTAGCACTGACATCCTGACTCACAACCTTCTGTATCTCCAGTTCCAAAGGATCCAATGCCCTCTTCTGGCCTCTGTGGGCACTGCATCCATGAGTTGCAATCATATATGCAGGCAAGGCACCCATACACATAAATTAAAATTAAGTAGTTTGAAAAACCTATGGTAACCATTATTTAGACTCCCCAACATTAGTTCAATAAATTTACATTCTATGGAAAGAAAGAGCATGTTAATATAAATTTGCTATTTCTACTGGCTTCTCTGAAGCTCTACTTAGAGAACTGCAGACACATGAAGAAGGTAATTTGGGTAGAACAGACACACTGTGGCTGCAGAGCCTGCAGTCTACACACACCCTATTATCATCATGTATAAAGCCTGAGAGTTAAGAGTAGTTCCCCACTGTGTGAGGGAAGACAGAAAAAGAGAGGCAAGTATGTAGCCTAGAAAGTCTACCACTTCTACTATTAGCACTTTCTCAAAAAAAAAAGTTTGTCTTTGTTTTAAATTATACATGTAAAGTTGAGATAGAAATATGTATTTTTAAACCAGTAATGATGAGGGATATCATTCTGTATGCTGTGAATATGTTTCTCTTATTGGTTGATGAATAAAGCTGCTTCGGCCAATGGACAGGTAGGATGTACCCAGGAAGGAAGAACAGATGGGGCTACCAGACTAGAATTCTGGGAGGAGGAATGCAAAGAATAGGTCTCAAGGGAGATGCCACATAGCTTCTGAGATAACAAGAGGTTCAGGAATCACCAGAAGCCAAGACTATGTGGAGATACACAGATTAACAGAAATGGATTAATAATTAAGAGAGAGTTATCCAATAAAAAGCCTGAGTCATAGGCCAAACAGTTTATAATTAATATAAGCCTCTGTGTGTTTGGGACTAAACAGCTTCAGGACTGGGTAAGGACAGAAGCTTGTGTGTGTGTGTGTGTGTGTGTGTGTGTGTGTGTGTGTGTATCAATCTATCCCCTAATCTCTTACTCCTCCAAATCCCACACAAATACCAGATAACACAAATCTTTTGGTTTTTGTTGTTTTTTTGTTTGTTTGTTTGTTTGTTTGTTTTTGTTTTTTTAATAGGTTGGTAAGACTATGGATGTTTTCTTACCTCTTTCTAAATGAATGTACTTTCCAAAGTGAATACATTCAACTTTGTATTAAGAAACAAACATTTTTATAGGTTTGGCCCTCTATGTAAGATCAAACTAGAAGTTAGGTACCAATCCCACAATTCAGTGATGGGGATTCTTCCTTCACTTCTAGACAGTGATATTTTATAGCCATTAGCCTAAGTTTCACTGCACTATGGAACATTGTAAATCTAGTGTTTAGAGTAGACAAACAAATGGCAAAACAAGCATGAACAAAGTGTCAGCCCAAGGACAACATGTTTAGTAGTTGTCTACTGTAAAGCTAATGCTATTCATGTAAAGGCTTACTATAAATAATCAGTATCATGCAAATATTCTTCTATCATGTAAATCAGTACTGCCATTACAATATAGCATAAGAAACTAGTATAACTTACTTGATCAACTTTCCCATTATTTTTTATTCCTATTCATGAACATCATAAACAATAATAGCATACTCAATATACTTAAGCATAAAATGTTACACACTTTCTTAGGGTAAACTCTGGACATAAAGCTGCCAAATCAATGGCTAGAAATGCTTTATGTTTTTTGATCTATTCCTTTTTAATACAAATGTCTAAAGGGGTCTCCAGCACTGCAGCAACTTGGTGAAGGCCCCAGAGAATGCTTCCCTCCTGTATGACAAAATGCTATGGTTGCAGACATGTAAGAATCCACAAATATGTGATGAGCTGCTTTTCTCCTTAATTACTTTTTGACATTTGTCTCCTGTCACTTTCCCCAGTTTCCTTCTCTTTCTAGTAGACGTCTGAGTTGAGAAGAGACCTACCCATGCCCAATACTTACTAAGGAAGCTATTAAATCATCTAAGGGGAACATTTTACAATGCCAAATGGATGGTCATTTTGATGTGTTGATAAAAGTGGTCAAGGAGATGGACTGGAGTACAGCAATAAAGAAAATATAATGTCGATATTAGCCGGCACTTTCTGAGCAATGACCGAACACCAATTCTGAGTTAGAGTTATTTTGTTAAAATGATAGTGCAGCGGGGAGACATGCAATACGGCACTTGACCGAAGTGTGGTTGGGAAGGAGAGACATGCACTGTAAGGGAGACGTCTTTCTGGAAGATGGGATATGTAAGAGGAACCAAGAGAGGCAGAACAGGTATATAGGACAAAGTGAAGAGTCTAGGCCTTCAGCTAAAAGGTCAAACAGAAATGAAAACATGGGTGAAGGGCAGAGTTGAGCCCCCAAAACAGCAAAATGGTAGGATCGTGCGCAACCTTGGAAGTCACACTAAAGATCAGTCCCTATATGACACTGAGCATGTCTCAATGGCAGCAGGTTTGAAGGGTACACAGGCAAAGCTCCAGAAAGCTTGTGGCCTGCACTGAGCACATCATGATTTGAAGGCCTATTCCTTTTACAGGCAACCTTTACCCATGAGCACCAATCTGCTTCTTTTAACTGTCTCCTCCACATCCCACACAGGCATCTTGTTCCTGTTAAACAAACTCCATGAGCAGTAAACGTTTATTTCCCTTGACTTTTTCTCTTTTTTTTTTACATTCCCTAGTTCAGAAATCACTAAATACTTTCTCACTGGCTCTAAGACACAAGTACAAAAAGACATTATGTTTCTATTTAACTGCAGTGGCCTCCTGTCTGTTCTTTCTTCTCCACTATGCCTTTGCAGTATAGCTCTGCACAACCATAGTCATCTTTCTACAACACAAGTTTGGTCATTTAACTGACTACGGCAGTATCTTCTGCTGGCTTCCCACCCTGTCAAGGATAAGCCAGAGATTTTCCAGGTACCCGTAGGCCAAATGCTACCCACTCTGTCATCTCACTCCCACAGGCCTCTCCCACTGTCTATGTCTACCCTCTTCTCCATCCCTGCTCCACCCTTCACAATGGCTTCTAGCTGTTCCAGCTCAGCACTTCCTCACAGCTGCATAACTTTCCCCTCTCAGAGCTCTATACTAAGAACATAGTAACTTTCAGAGAGTTCCTTTCACATTTATCCTGTATACATTTCCTCCTTGCTATTTACCATTTACCTTGTTATTTAAGCATTGAGAATATGTATTCATTATCGACTGTTCTAACGTATAACTGAAAATCTGGCAGTTTTACACACAAATGCAATCACTTATAGATCTATACCTACAAATCTAATCAGTTTCACTAATTAGTAACATGAGGTGTGAACAAGGCAGCACTTCCTTAAAGGCTCTGAAGGAGAACCTTAGCCTGGTCAGCTTGCTCCACTATAGAAGCAACACACTGTTTCCTCCATCTTCCTCACTGGGATGGCTAGTTTGAATGAGAATGTCTCCCCACCCCAGACTCATGTGTTTGGATGCTTTGTTCCTAGTCTGTGAATTATTTGAGAAAGATCAGAAGGTGTAGCCTTGTTAGAGGAAGTTTGTCACTAGGGGTAGGCTTTGACGTTTCAAAAGACTGGATGCACCATTCTCAGTGTGCCCTTTCTCCGCCATGTATTTGTGGGTCAGAATGTGAATAGAGACTATTATTGAGATAAGTTTGGCCAAGAATGAGTTGCTTTCTGCCCTTATGCTAAGAATTTGCATGACGCAAATTCATGGACTGAGTTCACTGGCAGAACAGACTTCAAGGCAACCTAACATTGATTCTATCACATGGTTAGTAGTAATCACTCTCAGGCAGTGCAAAAATAAATATAAAATGTACAGTTGAAAGAGAAAAAAATAGCACAAGAGAAGTGTGCTGAAGAGGAAGAGAAAAGGAGAGGCCAATCCAGAATGTTCTTAGGCTAAGGTTCCAACTTATAAAAGTAAATAGCCAAAAGAAATGTTCTGCTTCTACAAATGAACGACAAAGGAAGGTTCTTGCAATTGTCAGCGGCCAGGCTTCACTGCAAGCCATCAGGCAAACCTGGAAGTGTTCGAGTGGTTCTGGCTTTAGAGCCAATGAAGGATACAGTCGTGAAGGAGCTGTGAAATCTTCCTTGATGGTTAAAGACAGCTGCTGAGATCAGGGAATGTGTGGCAAGGCAGTCCCTGGGTGAAGTCCCTGAGATGTCAAGATGCCATTTTGTGACGCTATAAAAGTGAAGCCTGCATCACGTTGGAGAAGACAAGATGTTGGAGATGCCAGAGCCAAAAGATTTCTGACAAACACAGTTGCACATACCAGGTGAAATCAGTCTAAGAGAGAAGTATGTTGCCAACAGCAAAGCTTTGACAGTGGACATGGAGCTAAATAAAGGACTCAAGAGTTGGCTCTACTGGGTCTTGGTCTTTCTTGGTCCAGTATTTTCATACTAAACCCTATTCTTATCTTTTGGAATGGTAATATATATTCTGTGCCTTTATATGTTGTAAATATGTATTACCTTTTGATTTTATAGGGGTTTTCAATTAAGAGAGTTTTCAATTAAGAAAGAAGGGGCTTGGAACCCTGAAATTTTAAACCCTTTTGACTGAAAGACTATGAGGACTTTTGAAATTGGACTAACTGCATTTTGCATTGTAATATGGTCATGAATCTAATGGGCCAGGAAACACAATGTGGTGCTTTGAAGGATGACCCCCATAGGCTCATGTGTTTGAATACTTGGTCTCCAGTTAGTAGAACTACTTGGGAAGGACTAGGGGGGTGGCTTATTGAAAGAAGTGTGTCACTGGGGTTGGCTCTAGGGTATCAAAGGCTTGCATCATGCCCAGTGTTTCTTCTTTCTACCTTCTCTCGTAGATGATGATGTGAGTTCTTGGTTTGCTCAAGCCACATGTCTGTTGCTTGCTGTCGTGTTGCCACACTGCCCTGCCATTATGGATTGTTACTCTCTGAAAACATAAGCCCAATTAAATGCTTTTATGTTTAAGTTGCCTTGACCAGGGTGTTTCGTCACAGCAATAGAAAAGCAACTAAGACAATGGGACTACATTTAGAACTAGATGGGCAACTCAGGGCAATCTCTCCACCCTAGACTTAATCACATTCTTTTTTCATATAAATAAGCACTTCAAGTGCAATCTAAAGAGAAGAACACCTGCATCCCAGCACTGTGAGGACAGGAAGAACATGGCATAGAGTCACAGTGCTCGATTAGGCAGCAAGGCATCACACTAGCCCCTGTCACACTTTTCCTTTCTGCTCATCTTCCATTCCCCTTATAGGATTCGTGTTTTAATAGGTAACATTTATAAACTATTAACACATGCCAGTGTCCTCCCACATCTATCAATAAGTAAGTAGAAAAGAAGGAATCAATCTCAAGTCTGTCTGACTCTAAATATTAAACTGTTGCTGAGATACTTCCTCATAACTTTTTTCCTTCAGCTAAATCTTAGTTTAGTTTTTAAATTATGTGTCACATCTTTAAAGGGAAGGGATAACTTCTGAAATTCAAATACCTACTCTAGCAGAAGTACTGGCAAGCAGGAAATAAAAGCTACTGGGTCTGGCTCCTTCCAATGAGCACCTTTGCTCTACCAAAGCACATATGGATGTGTTAATCAAATGTAAGCAAAATGCTCTTAAATCAAATTACATATAATGAGCCAGGGTCTCTATGTCATTAAATTATGAAACATGCAGGACGATTTAGCTTTAATCTTATCTCATTACCATCAATAACCCAAATGAAAGCAATGGTCCCAGCTAAAGACAAAAGAAGGATAATATGAAGATAAGCACCTGACTAAACCACCAAAACCAATCACATGTTCCAAAAACAGCTATGGGGCTGCCGTGGGATTGTGGTAAATTAAAACAGAACTCAACAGGGACAACATCATCCTGAGAACAGAAAGGACAATTGCTTTGTACGTCATAGAAAAGAAAGATCACATCTTAAGACCTATACTTGTGAAATAAGCTGTCCTATCACCACAGCTTTCAGGTAGGGTTCCCAGAAACCACTTGGGAATACATACTACTTTAGACCACTCTCAATGAATCTATAACTTTTGGGGGTTAATATAAACACCATGTAAACCACCTTGATGGAAGTTCCCCAGCCAATAATGAGTGTCACAGTGTCCTTCCAGCAGAGGCTGCAGGGATACATATCTGGCCGAAGACTTATATCATCTCGGGGAACATTGGTGATTCTTTGCTTTGAGGTGATGTCAAAAATCTTCACACCCTGCAAAACAAAACAATGTTAAGCAGTCTGCATTCTGGAGGAGCGTATCAATAGGTGTGCTATATCAAAACAATGGTGGTATTTACTGAGTATGCCAAAGAGCTACACAAAGGCATGGTCTTGCTTTATACAAACCCTATGAGACCCAAACCTGCAAAGCAACCTCCACACTTCTTTTTGGACAGAGGCTGTGTTATTAGTGGATAGCATGGGTGCTGCAATCCAGTGCAAGCATGCATTACACGAGTACACCAAGTTTGTTTGCATTTCTAATGGAACTTTGTGCAAAGGAATGAGTTTTCTTTTTCCAGTTTTTTGTTGTTGTTTGTTTTGTTTTGCTTTGCTTTGCTTCTCAGAAAGGTGTTAGTTCTGAAAACCCATCCATTCAAAGAAAACCACATGTGACATTTCAAAGTGCTCAAATGGAAACAATAAGCATCCTGCCAGCTGAAAATGAGCCTAAAGACCACGGCTTTACTTTCTTTAGGAACCAAGAAAAAAGAAGGAAAACCCAAAATAGTAGGGTTAAGCTGAGGTTTCTACCACTTCTAACTGAATGGACTGATTTTCTCAACTATGCACTGAAATCTCAGAAAATATGACAGATACGAAGAAAAAACATTTTTTCGACTTTCTTCAGGCCTCACTTTATACTAAATAAATTTTAAAGCACGCTTTTTCAATATTTGGGCCTATGATTATACTGGAAGTAAAGGAGAAATCAAAAATAGTCTGTACTTGCTTCTATCAGTGGCCCATGGACAATGGTAAATGTCAGTTCCAGAGCTCGTTCCGGAAGCAGTCCTCCAATTATTAAAATGGCTTCCCATTCTCTTGGCTACTCTGTACCTCAGGAACCTTAAAATACAGTCTACAGTGTGTTGAGAATTACTGTACTGCAAAAACCCAAAGTGGCCTGCCTTCCCGAGGCTCGGAGGTATGGTGTCAGTCTCCCTTTTGTCTATTAGAATGGTCACACACACCCCACCACCACCCCATCATGTGTTAATCATCTTCTCTGTTCCAGACCTTTCGACCTGACCAACCTTCTGCCACTGTGTTAGAGAGACAGACATGCGCCTTTACCATATTATTGGCCCAGGCTATCAGATGGCCTCTCCATTTCACACTCCTTATGTTCCCTTCCCCTTCGTGCAGGACAGAAGATTTCCATCTGTTCATCCACGTCCGTTCAAACAGCAGCAACTGAGGAAACAGCAAAACACAGGTTTTCAGACACCCAAAATCACACAGAAGATCTTTAACTCACCATTTCTGCTTGTCAGTGTTACCAAATGACAAACTACTCAATTGTGTGTGGGTGGGAGTGGGTATGCTTATTTTTAGCAGATAGCCTGCTTTTGGAAAGAATTCCCTACATATCTTGAACTGCATCCCTCTTTAAATCAGCTTCGAGCCTTGAGGTTATGACAAATCTCAGCCACAAGATGGCACCAAAACACCAAGACTGTGGGCAAACAATGCCTTAGTGAATAGCAGCTTTAGGAAAGCTTTTTCAAATAAGAAACTAGGAACTAATTCATTTTGTAAACTGGAAAATCAGAATCTCTTAAGTTTCTCACTGACAAGATCTTCATCACAGATTACACTGCTTTAGTTGGAAATGGTCAGATTTTGTTTCATTTAATCCAAGGCAAATAATTTGACAGTAAGTATGTTTTGAACAGTAAATCAAATGACAAAGTATGGACCATTTGCTTTAGGATTTAGGGTCTCTAAAAATTCCACAGTAGCTAGACACTGTATAAAGAGAAGAATCTATTGTGAAATCCTACTGGAAATTTTAATGTAAAATATAACTGGTCAAAACCCCTTAATCCTGAAGAGAAGATATAGCTTTGATAATTCATATATAAGTAAAATATTCTTCTTTTCCCAATTTCAATTCCTTAAGCAAAGACATTTATACAGTGCATCATTAAAAGCACATCATCCAGGAGTACGTGTTTTGCCACTGTATGCCATCACTGAAAACAGATTCCACGACAAAACAGAGGCTGCTAAAGAGACAAGTTTCAGTATTGCTGGCTTAGAATCTTATTGTAGAATTGTGGGCCGATGATGTCTCAGCCCTCAAAATCTAGCATTACTGCCACCACACCAGACAGGAGAATTTTCAAAGCTCCTGTTTTAGGTCTCCTTAGTGTCTTGCATATCTCCAACATGATCAAGACATTGGGGAGGAAAGATCATGCATTAAGAATAAATTTATGCTAGGCAGTGGTGGCACACACCTTTACTCTCAGCACTCAGGAGGCAGAGAGAAGTGGATTTCTGTGAGTTTGAGGCGAGTGTGGTCTACAGAGTGAGTTCTAGGACAGCCAAGGCTACATGGAGAAACCCTGTCTCAAAAAACCAATGCCCCGCCAATAAATTTATATTTTACTCATATTTCCTACATGTCTTTCTCATTCTTTACATATCCACAATTGGAACTGATATAAAAATGGAAATGTGAATTCTTTCAAGTAAGCTGAATATATTCACATTAATGTACTATAAATGCTTGAAGTTCTCTGTTAATTGTACAAAAGTAAGCTGGCCTCATCATCTGTCTTCAATCAGAAATGTCCACCCAGCTTCACTGATCTTCTAACTCATCTCATCCTTAGTGACCTAGCTAGAAATCCAGGGGTGTCCTTGCACTGGGTTCTGGCTTCCCTTCTTGTCAAACAGGGAAAGGATCTAGACAGGACGCTGCCCAGGTAAGTGAGGGGAATGATGCATTTACTACAAGGTTTGAAATGTGCAAAAAAAAGGAAAAAAAAAGAGTAGTTTTTGGTGACAGAAAAGGATTCCTAATCCACTAACAATTTTCAGTTAATAATTAGTTTAACAAGGAAAAATTGGTGAGATCACAGACTCCTCTACCAGTGGCCTTGGTCTGCAGAGAAATGAGCAGAGCACAGTGAGCACTGATCACTGGCTGCTGAAAGGAAAGGCTGGCTAGGGAGCTAGGAATCCACCATCAATTCCCACCTCAGGACCAGCTCAGTGCTGAGAGGAAAGGTAAACAATATGAAATGTGTTTAAAAAGTAAACCCACCCCAACGTTTACATTGAAGATTCTATGAAATCTGTAAAAATGAGAACCCAGTAAAGGCTGTGACTTAACATTCTGCCTAAAACAGCCTGCCACAATCTGCTCAGTTAGGTACCAGAGCGCCAACCCAGCATCCTCAGTGTAACACAGGATGTGAGGCTAGTCCTGGGAAAAACAAAGCTGAAGCACAAAGGCTCAGGCTGCAAAGGCCAAGCTGTCACCACCCCTGCTGGCATGGCTGGGCACCTACGGAAGGCTCAGTATCCGAAAAGAATTGGTATTAGTCCACAGGACTGACATATCCCACAGAGCAGATGGGGACTTTCAAAGTTAGGTCCAATTCTTCGTATCACCATTCTTCAGGGATAACAAAAAAATAAGAAGCAAATAAAGGACAATAAAAGATTTAAAAATATTCTCCAACTTTGTAAAAAGGAAAATCATATTGCACCTAGAGTAATAAACACAAGAATAGCCATATCACAAATCCAACTAACCTTCAGGGGACCAATCAAAATGAAAAAAGGGAAAGAGGCCAGATATGGAAGTCACAGGAGCCACACAGACCAAACAAAAACACTCCACTTCTGTCCATAGAAAGAGCTTTAGCCCCACCAGTCTGCCATGAGACTCTCATGAAGAACCATCCCATGGAATTAATTCTAGTTATCCCCAAAGAACGAGAAATTCATTTGAAAGAAAAAAAATGAGATAATAGCAATCTTAAAAACTGGGCAATTAGGTGCAAGGGGGTAGGTTTTTCTTGCTGTATAGTAAAACATTAAAAAAAAAAAAAAGTCACTCTTCTATTCTCTCACCTCGCCCCATGATCCCTCCATGGCTTTCTGGGCTCTGCAGGTACCCAGGTTATATATTTACATCTGAAGAAATCCAGCTGGGATGCCTCTGAACCACAACAAGCATCATGGCAAAGTGTCCCTAAGGTAATGGTGACATTCATATCTGGGCAGTAGCCAAAGGCTGGCTAGCTGGAGTTTAGGACTGATGAATAAGAGTGAAAGCAGGCGTGGTACTAGAAACCTACACAGGGCTCATGAGATCAAGGATCTTCAATGGGCACCAATTCCTAGCTTAAAATAACCAGATCTAAAATAGAGCTTTGGGTCCGAGTGCTACAGAGTCATTCAGAATGACAGTGCTCAAGAGCTTGAGGGCCTCTTCTCCCCCCCACCCAACATACCCTGCCTGACCCACCTCTCTACCCACCTCTGCCCTCCCACACCTCCAAGGACAATGGTCTCAGTTTGTTTCCTCTTTATCTTCTGTTCTTTTCAAATTCACTCTATAAAGTCCCCTCTGTTACAATCAGTGTGCTTGGGGTTAGCAGGGGAAACTGAGGCCAGATGGCCGCTGGCTTCCCTTTGTCCTGTTCTAGCTCTGGGGAAAACTAGGAGAGGACAGGAAGAAAAGGAAGGAGACAAGAATTCTGAAATCAGTCCATGAGAGGTTTGGTTGAGCCAAGCTCTGCAAACTGTTTGACATGAAGTGGGCAGAGCAAAGATCCCCCTCCTTCAGGGAGGTTTCATGAAGGCAGAAAGACCAAGGACATGGATGCAAAAGCCACATGCTGGAAAACAAACAAACCCCCAAACCAAAAAAAAAAAAAAAAAACAAAAAACAAAAGGAAACATGCTAACTTCTCTAAGTGAATGAGACATTTTAAACCATTTATCACTGCAATCAATGTGATTCGTCTTATTTTTGGATGTTTCTGAAAATATAATAGTTTTTATCACATCACTATTGTCTTTTGCAGGTAAAATTGAATTATCTGTAATAAGCAAGCATTCCACAATTGCTTGGTTCTGTTGTGTGCTTTATAACCATGCCAGTCCAATCACAGCATCGCTGTCAGGTCAAGGTACGCTCTTCCCTCAGTCTGGGTATCATCTGAGCTTCCCTGCTTCTCCCTCCTGGGGAAAAGATCATGCCTTTCACTTTACTAGACACATGGGCATGATGGACAGTAGACATCAAGTTGGCTTTCTGAGGGTTATTAAAAGTGTGAGCCACTGACACCTGGCAATTCTGAGGGCTATTCTCAATCCTCCTCATTGTCAATTCACGATGTATTTGCAACTGGTGGAGCTACATAATGGCCCAGAGTCTCTCTTCAGCTACATAAACCACCTATCTGCAGCTCATAATACTTTTAAAAACTGCATTGCCTACATAGAAATCTGCTGTCTCTAAAATGGAAAGACCTCCAAGCTAATTCACACAATTAACACATTTTTCCCTGTCAGAAAGGAAGGGACTTAACTCTGCCAAGTTCATGCCCAACTTCTGTAATGACAGACTACTGCCCATTCCTCAAGGGCAGAGGATGTAACTTACATAAAAACCTGAAAACTACTTTAAGCATCAGTTTTCTCATGCTCCATGTAAGTAGCGGCTGATCCTCTCACTGAGGGATGCAGATGTGCCCTGTGTTTAGACTACACAGTGACGTTCTGAGCACTGCAGAAGGCTCTGAACCTAGCCCTGGCTCCTCAGAAATTCCCCGTGTCCCTCTTCACCTGCCCGTATTCTGTACTTATGAGTTCTAGCTTCTAACCCTCACATGGTATTCAACTTCACATGTCTACAAGTAATTGCTGAAGTTTTTATCACTAGCATTCTGTGGGATTTACTCCAAAGGACACAGGGCTTCACACAGGGGATCGGCACCAAATGGTGTACTTCCATTTACTGTCTTATCCTAATCTATGGGAATTTTGAGTAGGAACACATTTTCTAGCAGGAATGCCAAGGAAAGTTCTGCACTGATGATTTAGAGAAAGATAAACTACTTTTCTTACACACATTCCACACTAATTTAAGTACCACAAAGCTATCTGCCCCTATTTCACTGACATTTAATAAAATCCATTTCTTTCTTCTAGTCATAAAACTGCCTAGAGACCTACTGAGCATGAATGCTCTACACAGCATTTTAGGGGTAAGTCATTGAGCGAACCAGCCTTAAAAGCAGCTGGTTAATTTATTTGGTTTGTCTTCCACATCCTGTATTATCGAATTGTCATTATCCCAATACTGAGAGCAATTTAAGCTCAATGGGAGCTAAGTACGCAGAGAGGAAAAGCTGTTTCCAAGAGGTCTATATTTTTGTTGTTGTTGG